GCCCTTTTTTCTCTACGCTTTGCCCCCGTTGCCATCTCTGAGTACAGGCATCCTTGCCTTGGACAAGAACATGACAGGGTAAATTAGTTGAAAGAATAAGAACAAATAACAACAAGCAGGTATTCGTGGTGGATGCGTTTGATTGGGCGGCCTGGCATGTGGCTTTACCGAGAGGCAGCACTGTGGTCTTTGAATACTGCCCCCTTATTTTGTTGTATTTATGGTGGAGATATGAAGCTCCAGGGTTGGTATGATGAAAAGCGGCAGGNGAGAGAGAATAATCCGAGAAATTAAAAATATGTTTTTTGGTGTCGCTCAACATGCCACCGAAACGTTTCCTTACTAGCAAGCCAATATTCCTATTGTGTTTTTCCGTGGTATGTTTTAGTGTCCGCTGGTCAATTTCAGAAATGTAGCGGCAAAGTCGAAAATTGTCAAGGAATGAAAGAAATGGACGCGTTTTAGACCATTGGCGTGTATACAGGCATTTTAAGTTCAGAACATTGGTTTTTCTTTTCTGAATCTCATCATGGAGAAAAGCGCGCTCAATGGTTGGACTTTGTCTAACACCAGACTTGGAAATACGAGCGGTGATAAATTTTGGCACAACTCGGTTAGTCAAACATAAATTGAGAAATGATAAAGAGAACCTGGCCGTCCTCAGCTTACCTCTTAACTTCACCAGTTGGTTGAGATCCTCAATCTCCTGTTTAGTGTACCTCTGCTTGAAAAATGTGAACAATTTTTTTGCGGTACAGAATTTGAAAATGGCTTTGAAAAAAGCAAACATTTTACAACATACTTAAAGCTTTTTCGTCTGACACTCCTCAGAGCATAAAACGTCAGAATAGGTTCCGAAAAAACACGTTTGAAAAATATATACCCAGTTGTGGATCGAAATAGGCCAATCAGAAAAACGCAAGCACAAGACCGGTATAGTTGACCAATCAGTGCCGCGAGCCTAAAGAAAAATTACCAATGGAGTCCAAGAGAGAAAACGAACTCCTTTTGTCTACACAATGGCGGCTTTTTCGTTTTTATGTAGATTGACTCCAAAACTGCTAGATGGAAGGACGACCGGGCTCTGCCAATTATCCGAAACATGTCGTCATTATAGAGTTTTGCACAATCTGGGTTGTCTAAAAGATGTTGACCAATGGCAGAATCACTTGTTTTAACAGTGTTTCTAGACCTACAAGATCGAGGAGGCTGTTCTCTTTGAGGGGCAGTTTTGTTTCGTATGTTGGAAGGAACATGCTGTTTTATCCTATCCCCCAATCTTTGGGTTGTGCGTCTAAATTCATAAATGACGGAACTTTTTTGGTTGGTAGGAACGCAATCCTTTTGAATGGATGGAAGGGCTCTCCTAGTGCTGTAAACAATCCGAGGATTGACAGCAAAGAAACAATTGGTTATGGCTTGCCTAATCTGACTCTCGAATCGCAAGGAAGTGTTACCAATCCATGGTAGTTTCAAATAAACTGGGCACTTTTGCGGACCAAACTTTTGAACAGCCGAAAAACTTGCGATCTTCTCCTTAGTATAAGATAAAATGACGTCTTCAGGATAGCCGTTGTCCAAGAAGATCGTTTTGAGTTTTTCCAGTTCAGCGTGCAGTTTAGATTTCGAGCAGATCATAAGTGCCCTATGTACTAATGTTTTGACAAGGTTGACTTTGCGTTGTTTTGGGCAAAATGAATTCCAGCGTATGTACTGACCGGTAAAAGTAGGCTTGCGATATACACTGGTAAGAAATCCAGTGTTAGACTTTTCGACCAAAACATCTAAAAATGGTAAGGAATCATTTTCTTCCTTTTCAAACGTAAACTGGAGGGCTGGGTGTAGGCTATTTAGGTGTTTTAGAAAAATATCACACTCAGCCTCTGTTTTGAAAATGGTATATGTGTCATCCACATACCGAAAATAGACACCTGGCTTTTGGTCGTAGTCGAACAAACGCTCTTCATGAAAGCCAACAAAGATATTGGCCAAGGCAGGTCCCAGAGGGCTACCCATAGCGACACCATCCTTTTGTTGGTACATTTCATTGTTAAAACTGAATTCAACTGAACGTGTTGCAGTTTCCATCAGTTCAATGAATACTTCCTCTGGGAATGGTGGGCTATTAAGCTCGCTCCGGTACAAAGCGTCGGCACATATTTTGATGGTCTCACTCAAAGGAACATTTGTGAAAAGACTACTAATGTCAAAAGAACACATGAAAGATGTTTCGTTTTCGATGTTCAAGTTTTGTATGAACTCAGCGAACGTAAAAGAATCCTTGATGCAATGTTTTGAATATTTTTGAAGAACAGGGTCCAAAACTTCAGAAAGCCACTTAGCCAGTTCGTGTTGTGCTGAGCCAATCATAGACAAGATAGGTCTAAGTGGGACGTTCGGCTTGTGTATTTTAGGGAGGCCATACATTTGTGGTCGTTGAGAGCCCGTGGGTCTTATCCTATCATAAATTTCTGTAGCCAACATTTTTGAGTTGACCAGTTCCAACAAACGTTTTTGGAGTTTACAAAATACACAAGCCGAACGTCCCACTTAGACCTATCTTGTCTATGATTGGCTCAGCACAACACGAACTGGCTAAGTGGCTTTCTGAAGTTTTGGACCCTGTTCTTCAAAAATATTCAAAACATTGCATCAAGGATTCTTTTACGTTCGCTGAGTTCATGCAAAACTTGAACATCGAAAACGAAACATCTTTCATGTGTTCTTTTGACATTAGTAGTCTTTTCACAAATGTTCCTTTGAGTGAGACCATCAAAATATGTGCCGACGCTTTGTACCGGAGCGAGCTTAATAGCCCACCATTCCCAGAGGAAGTATTCATTGAACTGATGGAAACTGCAACACGTTCAGTTGAATTCAGTTTTAACAATGAAATGTACCAACAAAAGGATGGTGTCGCTATGGGTAGCCCTCTGGGACCTGCCTTGGCCAATATCTTTGTTGGCTTTCATGAAGAGCGTTTGTTCGACTACGACCAAAAGCCAGGTGTCTATTTTCGGTATGTGGATGACACATATACCATTTTCAAAACAGAGGCTGAGTGTGATATTTTTCTAAAACACCTAAATAGCCTACACCCAGCCCTCCAGTTTACGTTTGAAAAGGAAGAAAATGATTCCTTACCATTTTTAGATGTTTTGGTCGAAAAGTCTAACACTGAATTTCTTACCAGTGTATATCGCAAGCCTACTTTTACCGGTCAGTACATACGCTGGAATTCATTTTGCCCAAACAACGCAAAGTCAACCTTGTCAAAACATTAGTACATAGGGCACTTATGATCTGCTCGAAATCTAAACTGCACGCTGAACTGGAAAAACTCAAAACGATCTTCTTGGACAACGGCTATCCTGAAGACGTCATTTTAACTTATACTAAGGAGAAGATCGCAAGTTTTTCGGCTGTTCAAAAGTTTGGTCCGCAAAAGTGCCCAGTTTATTTGAAACTACCATGGATTGGTAACACTTCCTTGCGATTCGAGAGTCAGATTAGGCAAGCCATAACCAATTGTTTCTTTGCTGTCAATCCTCGGATTGTTTACAGCACTAGGAGAGCCCTTCCATCCATTCAAAAGGATTGCGTCCCTACCAACCAAAAAAGTTCCGTCATTTATGAATTTACGTGCCAGTGTGATTCTGGCTACGTAGGGCGCACAACCCAAAGATTGGGGGATAGGATAAAACAGCATGTTCCTTCCAACATACGAAACAAAACTGCCCCTCAAAGAGAACAGCCTCCTCGATCTTGTAGGTCTAGAAACACTGTTAAAACAAGTGATTCTGCCATTGGACAACATCTTTTAGACAACCCAGATTGTGCAAAACTCTATAATGACGACATGTTTCGGATAATTGGCAGAGCCCGGTCGTCCTTCCATCTAGCAGTTTTGCAGTCAATCTACATAAAAACGAAAAAGCCGCCATTGTGTAGAAAAAAGGAGTTCGTTTTCTCTCTTGGACTCCATTGGTAATTTTTCTTTAGGCTCGTGGCACTGATTGGTCAACTATACCGGTCTTGTGCTTGCGTTTTTCTGATTGGCCTATTTCGATCCACAACTGGGTATATATTTTTCAAACATGTTTTTCGGAACCTATTCTGACGTTTTATGCTCTGAGGAGTGTCAGACGAAAAAGCTTTAAGTATGTTGTAAAATGTTTGCTTTTTTCAAAGCCATTTTCAAATTCTGTACCGCAAAAAAAAGTACCTTTAAGTTCAATTGCAAGAAGGCTGCAATAAATATTACACTCTAAGAATGGCTTTGAAAAAAGCAAACATTTCACAACATACTACTAAAAGCTTTTTTGTCTGACATTCCTCAGAGTATCAAAGGTCAGAATAAGGGTCTGAAAGAACACAATGTAAAATATATACCCAGTTTTGTATCAAAATTGGCCAATCAGAAAGCGCAAGCACAAGACCGGTATAGTTGTCCAATCAGTGCAGCATGCTTAAAGCAAATTACGCCTGGGGTCCAAGAATAAAAACGAACTCCTTCTGTCTACACAATGGCAGCTTTTTCGTAGGTTTATTCAAAAACTTCTAGATAGAAAGACAACTGGGCTTTGCCAATTATCTGAAACATGTTGTCATTATAGAGTTTTATGCAATCTGAGTTATCTAAAAAATGTTGCCCAATGGCAGAACCACTTGTTTCAACAGTTTTTCTAGACCTACAAGGTCGAGGAGGCTGTTCTCTTTGAGGGACAGTTTGGGTTGTGTGTCTTACAAAGCCAGAATCACACTGGCACGTAAATTTGTAAACAGCAGAACTCTTTAGCTGGTAGGAACGGTATCCTGTTGAATGATTGGACATGTTTGGTAGGACATGTTTCAGATAATTGGAAGGACATGTTTCAGATTTGGTAGAACTATTATTCTGCCACTAATGTGATATTAATTTCTTTTTAGGTTGACCCAAAATTCTTGAGGAACTTGAGGTTTGCCAAGAAACACAATAAGAAAAGTGCCAAGTAGTTGATTTGATGAATGCCCTTGTTTACCAAATAGAGGTTGTTTTTTTCTGTGTTTGTCCTTGTTTTGTATTTAATGAGAAATGTGTTTTGTATGCATTTTAACAATTACTGGATCAAAACAGCTTTTCCTTAACTAAGATATGCAAGGCAAGAATTGGGTTAAAATGTCAGTTTAGATCACTAGTAGATACACAGGGAAGAAAGCTTTTGGTATCCATTTATTGAGTTTCTTTCTATTTAGCTCCCACTTCTGCCTCAGGCATTATTTTCAATAGGGATCTTATTTCCTGAAGTTAATGATATTATAGCAATTATTGTTTTAGGAAAGCGATAATAGAATGTGTGAATAAATTGAGTACCAAAATGAAATAAATGTTATCAAAGTCAAAGAGTAGATGCTCGAAACTCAATGTTTTCAACAATCGAAACTTGATTTATTTCATTTTGTGCTTATTTGTAAATAATATTACAGGTTTTTCGATTAAATACCAAACACAACTTTAAATTTATTTGGATTGTTCTAGCATAAACATCTAAGTAGTACCTAGGTTGGGTGTAATTCTAATTTTGTCCACTAAAAGAGCTCCATTTTTTCTTTCAAATATCCTATGTGTAAAGAGGTTCTATTGTAGTTGCCTCAAAAAGCAGGAGAAGTATTTTTGGGAGCATGATTAATCAATGTGGTGTACTTTTTATAGTTTGATAGAGAAAATAGACTGTAAACTGCACCAAATAATTAGTTTCCATGATACCCTCAACAAACACTGTTTATTGTAGCAGGCTACACCCCTTTGTTATACATATAAAAATGTAACCTAAAAGTTGGTAAAAAATTTGAACAGCTGTGTATTCACTGTTGTTCACTGTTATTCACTGTGATATCTCAGATCAACCTCACAGGTAAGGTGTTGAATGAATATTTTGTCTATCTTTGATTTTATTGACACAAATCCCTATAATACCAGCAATTTTTAGTTTGATCAGAAATTCAGTAAAGTCAGAGAGGCAAAAAATCAGGCAATTAAACATTGATCTAAATTTGGAAGTTTGGGATGGACAACATGTAAGAACAGATACATTTACTTCTTGTTCCATTCCTTTTCAAAGTACTGGGGGAAATCAGTTAATTAGTTTCATATTTAAAGGCTCATTATGTAGAATCTAACAATAATAGCTAGACATACAATTAACTGAACTAAATAAAATATCAGGTATTATCACATTTAACTAATACTTCATTGTGGGAAATTGAGAAAAGGTGGAGCTCTCATTAGGTAAAGAGAGTGTACCCCTTATTGAATGTGAATCAGATGAACTTGATTTCTATGTGGTTCAAGTCGAAATGGCTTCAGTTCAAAAATGATCTAATGATTGATCAGCCTTAACGACTCAGTAAAGAATATTCCAACTGAAAGTTTGTTTCCATTAATCTTACTTACCAAAGGACTTTGGGGTATCTTTGGCAGGGCTTACGCCGCCGATTCCAAGCTGGGGCAATCATGTATATAACTTACCTCTATAATTGGTCGTTTATTTTGGGCTATGTTACATCATAGTAAGTAGAAATATTTCAGTAAGCAGAGCTTTTTCGCCATTAACATCCTGGCTCCCCCCACAAAGCCAGAGGCATCGTGGGTAGGGCAAATTTTCCGAAAACGGGTTTGAATTAAAAATTATGACGTCAGCAAGGGCATGCACAGTTTTTTTAGTCAGTCAGTAAAACTATCAATAGGACTGATGATTAATATCTTAGGAATCTAAAGTAGCAAACAAAACAATTGAAAAGTCTCCTTAGCAACTTGCCGATTATTTCATCATAACCTAGTGTCAAATAAGTCCAGCTCAACATTTATTTGACCTCTCTTGGCCCATTGTTGATCCCAGCCTGTTTTTTAGATACTTGAGCTTTAATAAAATGCACTCACATTAGAAATACCCATTGGCAAGCTTGCCATTTCCTGTACAAATGTACAGATTTGGATAGGCAGGCTGTAAAATAAATAACAACGAGTTTTACTACTTCCAGAAAAATTTTCTGTTTTTATATCTTCCCTCTTTCATTGATTAGTTCTTTTGAACTTTCATGCTTTATTAGTTAGCTGTATTATTTTGGGAACATGAATGCAATGTTGAAAACAGATTTTAAGTTTGTTTTGAAACCCAGCGAATGTTGACTCTGAATTGAATGTGTTGACGATTACCAAATTCCATAGAAGCTTCAACCGGTTTCCCCCATTTACCTTTTCGTAAATACGAAAGTTGGATATTGTAACAATATTGTAAGTTGGAAATAACAATATTGTTAGTTGGAAATAACTAAACAGGCCATCACACTTTGTAAATATGATGAACTGGTAATGGTCGATGTTTTAGTTTATATAATGCATACCACAAATATTTACGAAGAATAATCTTTGGCTCCTGTTTTACTTCCTTTTCCAAGAAGTAGAAACGATCTTGAGTTTAGCCTCGTCTTCGACAGTTAAATGTGATGCATCCAGATGCAGTCATGGCGTGAGGCGTTGCCAAGAGAAGGTTTAAGGTGAGAAAGTCTAACTTTGAACAGATTTGCCACGTCAAAACCTGATTTCTACTGTGCATCAAAGAGTTATAATGCCAAAACTTTAAATAGGTGTGCATTTAGGCCGACTTAGTAGATCAAATTCGAAAAACTTTGCAGATGGCAAAGATCCACCAACTGTGATATTGTCGCGTTATTTAAAAGCAGGTGTTTTTGGAGATTTCAAGGTACTGTATATGTACTCTGTACAGTAGATCGAGCTGCCTGCCTGGCTAAGTGTTAAAATAAAAGTTGTCTAGCCCTCCCTCAATCATCAATAATCTACAGTAAAAATTATTTTATTTTGTTGTAAAAGATTTTGCACGTAAAGATGCACCAAGTTAGTTACGCGTTTTAATGACCGTATAGCTGTAGCTGGTGGATTCAAAATGGATGACAGCTCAAACCCAGGATCTGGCAGATGTTCAGTTTCAGATGAACCACAGGAGAGTTATGTCCCAATTCGCATGCTTGGGAAAGGAGCGTTTGGACAAGCAGTTTTGTACAAAAGAGCTGATGATAATACGTTGGTTGTATGGAAGGAGATCGAGTTGCCTAAAGTGTCAGATGAAGAAAAAGATAGATCCCTAAACGAAGTTGATGTTCTTTCCCTGCTTGACCACATTAACATAGTGTCATATTATAACCACTTCTTTGATGATTATACTTTGTATATTGAAATGGAATATGCTAATGGTGGAACATTATTTGAGAAGATAAGAGATCAAGCAGATTTGCTGCCTGAAAAAGAATGTGCCTGGTACTTTTATCAGCTGATGTCTGCTGTTGGTTATATTCACATTAATGGTATTCTTCACAGAGATATCAAAACATTGAATATTTTTATGACTAAATCTGGAGTTCTCAAACTTGGGGATTTTGGTATCTCGAAGGTACTCGAGGATAATGTTGAGCTGGCTGAAACACATGTTGGAACTCCATACTACATGTCACCAGAGTTAGTCAAGGGCGAGAAATATGATAACAAGAGTGACATTTGGGCATGTGGGTGTGTTTTGTATGAGATGTTATCATTGAAGAAAGTTTTCGAGTCCACCAATCAGTTAGCTCTTATGTGTGCCATTCTTGAAAATGACTTTGAGAGTGTTGATGCTGGTTATTCAAAAGAAATTCAAGAGATCCTAAGCAGTATGCTAGATAAAGACTTGGAGAAAAGACCTGATGCCAATGAAATTCTTGCATTAGAATATATGCAAAATTTTGCTGAAAAGTTTGATAGACTTGTGAAGGAGAATTCAAAAGTTTTGAGTTTCAGGAAGGCATCAAGCAGATCTTTTTCAGGTTCATATGTTCCAGTTGTGTCATCTTTGACAAGTGAGATTTACTGGTGGGGAGGTGGCAAGAATATTCCACAGCGATTAGAGATATTTAAAGAAGGTAATGCAGGAATGGATATTGCAACTGGGCATAGTCATTTTGCAGTTGTTACTGTGGAAAGAGAGCTGTTTACATGGGTTAATATACAAGGTGGAACCTCAATTGTTGGACAACTTGGACATGGTGACAAGGCTATGTACAGACTGCCAAAGCGGGTGGAATATTTTTTAGGAATACCTGTAATTCAAGTTGCATGCGGAGAGGATTTTACTGCCATTTTAACTGAAGATGGGATTTTGTATATGACTGGATCTGATTACTGGGGCTGCATTGGCCAGGGTCAATCAGGAGAAGATGAGGTTTTGCTTCCTGTAAAGGTTGAAAAGTTTGTTAACTCTAACATTAAAATTACCCAGGTTGCATGTGGAGATTCTCACGTCATTGCATTAACCAGCCAGGGTGAAGTATACAGTTGGGGCTGTGGGGAGTTAGGTCGACTTGGTTTAAATAATGAAGAAGATGCAAGCACGCCACAGCTTGTCAAGATTCCAAACATTTGGTCAGATATTTCTTCAGTACATTGTGGTAGAGACAACACCTTTCTTCTGACAGGCAAGGGAATTTTATTAGCATTTGGGAGTAATGAAAACAACAAACTTGCTCTGAACCAAACTGTTCAGCTAAGGAAAGACAAACCAAAACCAAAAACAGATATTGTTGTTGTTCACTATAGAACCTCAGTGACCATGGTGCGTTCTTTGAAAAGTTTTAGAATCAAAGCAGTTGGTGCAGGGAAGGATCACTCTGCTGTTGTTGAAGCTTATGGAAGGCTTGTGACTTTTGGAGATAATAAATTTGGCCAGCTGGGCACTGGAGATTACAAGAAAATGGTGATGTATTATTTATTCTTTAATCCATTATTGTTTATATATTTTTAAAACCAGATGCTATGCATCTTGAAGACAGCCCAGCTTTTATGCTGGATTCTGATTGATCACTAACTTATGAGGCAGGTGTTTTTCTTGGGATTGTTGTAATTCCATATTAGCTTGGATGATCACAAATTCTATTCTCTACACTTACAAAAGGGCTGCAAACTTTTCTGTTTTCTTGAGAGAAGGCAGTTTGCTGCTTCTGTCCAGGCTCAGCAAAGTAAACAAAAAGATAGCCACCCATGCTGCATTTGTTTAGCAATACTGAACCAAGTTTAGAAATAAATTGAGATTGTAACACCATGTACAGAGGCAACGGCAGAAAATGTTTTTCAGAGGGCACATAAATGATTTTTGCTGACAAAAATTCCTTCTTTTGCCTGGCAAAAGTCGTTTATGTGCCAACAGACAAAATGTTAGGGGAGGGGGGGGGGGGTAAGTAGTCCCTGACCATGCAGTGTGATATTGCACTAGTTGGTACAATCATACAGCAGTTACAACTTAGCATCCAGTGTTAGCTTCTTTTTTTATTATTTCCTAAATTGTCTATCTTAAACAAATTTCAAAAATTTCTCCTGAAATTGTATGTTTTTTGACACATGTGCATAAAATGATATCATTATCTGTGTCCGTCACTTCCCATTTTCTAGCAAAATGCAAAAATTTTACAAAATATATTTGCTTGCTACAGGGCTGTGTGGGAACCGTCAATTTTTATCTAAATTTTGTTGTTTTTGGGGGGACTCAATGTTGAATAATCCAACTCTTTTTATTATACTTAAATGTTTATTTGATGGCATTCTAGTACGTTTTTCCTTGCGACTATGGTCACAATTTTTAATGACAAGTTTTCATTGGTCTAATTTTCTACTAGTTTTTTCTAACAAGTTTTTTATTAATATAGAAATAATTTTCTAATGTGCAGCAGATCCCATTTGAGATACTTTTCTTTGTTGAGTATTCCATACAGATTTCTCAGAAAAAACCAAATTTGTCTTTCAATAGAGCAGTTTAACAGATATTACTGCTTATTGTTTATAAAGAATCTTCTCAGAAACAAACATGTGCTGTTAAATGTATAAGTTAGAGTTTTCAAATGTGATCTTTAGTAAGATCACTCTTTAGTGAAACATTTTAAATTTTGTAGATGTTGAAATAGCTAGCATTTTGATGCGTATTTTGATATCAAAATTTTGATAGTCACGTTTAATCCAAGTTAGTCACATCTTGTCATGTTTGAAGAGAACTTTAGTCTGAAACATATTTTTCTTTAAGATATCTCCTTATATTGTGAAAGGAAGTCTTGTTGGCAAAGAGATTACCCAAGTTGGTTGTGGAGATGGTTTTACGGTTGTTGCAACTTCTGATAACCAGGTTTTCTCATGGGGTTGCGGTGATAACGGAAGACTGGGAGTTAATCCAAATATTCTTGGAGGCAAACAGAGTTCTGCAGTCCCACGTCCGATTTTCGGCTCTTTGCATAAAGTGGCAAGCCTAAAATGCCGTCATTGGCACACGATCATCCTTGGTGAGAGAGTTCATGGATCTAAAGTTATTCAGAAAACAGCCTCATTCCCAGATTCTATGTTGTCATCTTCAGGTTTGTTATTCATTACTCTAATCAGAACCTCTACTAACGTAATTGCCGACAGACGACAGCCCCTCAAGCCCTAGTTATTTTGTTTTTGTTTTAAGCCTTAAACTTTGTCCTATTTTTATAATAACGAAGGCTTTTCTCTCCAACTGAAATCCTGTAAAGAGGCCACGACCTTCATTTCATTTTCTGGTTTACTGCTCTTGAAAAGAAATCACCGCATACAACAATGAAAAACCTCAAACAAATCGACAACTGTTCGCTGATTATTTTTTACCAACTAGAAAACTACAATGACCACTTATCCGAATCATTTCAATATTTTGCTTTCAAAAAGGTCATTTATTATTTTGTCTTCCATTTTTGGCCAAATGTTTCTTCTCATTCCGTTGGTTGAATACATATATATACATGTATGGACGAAACTGGAACAAATAAACTCCTCATTTGTATTTCGAGGAAAAAAATTTCTCTCATTGGCACAACAGTTTGTTCATTACCGAGACTCGAAACAAAATACTTGTTCTTCTGACTGAGAACATATTTGGTATTTTTTGGCATAAACTCATATTTGGTATTTTTTGTGCCTTCTTGCTTTGCCCTTTTGGTATCTTTGCCCCTTCTCTGAAGCCCTCCACTGATCTGACAATTTAATATTTTCAAGGTCATTTCTCATTTTAAGTTCCCATATTCTTTACATATTCTTTGTTCCTCCTCAAACATGCAGTATGTACCAGATGGAATATTACTTTTTTCTACTTTCGAGTCTTTCCTTGATGCCCCCCCCCCTCCGCTTCTTATAACAAAGCGTATAGTAGCGTAAGGAAGCTCTGTGAGATCAAGAAGAAAAAAAGTGAGAACCTGATTAAGAACTTAATATTTTGATTTTACTGATATGTTATGAACACTTTTTTTGTCCTGTTTACATTCCAATGTCTTGCTTACATTCCTTCTGTTTCCATTTGTTGAGGCTGCTAGTCATTCGAGTTTATTGTTATTTGAAAAATCTTCTACTAAAATCTTCGAGAAATTTTTCCACCCATCCTTAATTCCAGCCCCCTTCTTCTATGCCAGACCTAAGAGTGGTTTTCACTTGCTCCCAGTCAAATTCCTATCTCAGTTCCCCCATTTATAAAATGTGAAACATGCCCCTTCCCTTTGGTCCAATCCTCATCTACAACCTGGCCTTTTAGGATGATTGAAACCATAATTTTTTGCTTTTCAGATCAAAGTTTCAAATTGAAAAGTTTCTCAGCATTCCATTCATCAGACTCGGGAACTGACGGTACTTTCTCTTCCTGCTTTGATGACGTTACAAACATATCCACCGAATTTCAGGAACCCGAGGACACGAAAAATGAAACAACCCCATCTTGGCTGAAGCAAGAACTTGAAGATGCAGAGGTATAGTTTTTCACGTATTTTGTTTTATAGATCAATCTCGGAACGGTTTTTTCCGTTTTTTTCTGGAATGCTTGTTGCCGTTTCAGATTCGGGCTTGTCTTCTCTGAATTTAGTTTTAAGTTGGTCATCCTTCCTGGCGACAATACCCTATGGCCTAAGCTTTCATAAAAACCGTCAGAAGGAATTGAATTTTGAATCTTATGGAATCCTAAAAGATATAAGCAATAATGATCATTCGAATTACGAATGCTCTGAGTCGTTATCTGTTTGGTTTATTTGCAGTTTTTTGAGACATACAAAGATAGCGATTAAGTTTCTGTTGACGATTCTAGGCCTTTCACTCCTCCGCACGGGGTACAACTTACAACTAGCGATGGTTTTGCTTATCCTGGCTTTAAACCTGGTTCCCATAGAATCGTAAGAGTCGGGAACGTGTCGCCGATCCCTTCTTCCATCCTCCATAACGATCAAGGAAAAATGTTCCCATTGAACGGGGACAAGTTGACAACTGTCAGAAAGCGATAAGATATCTTTACAACAAAACAATAGCAAGCAAAAACGCGCCAAATCATTTTCCTGTTATTGGTTAATTACACCCAAGTGACTGTTTCTTAACTATTGTAAATCGGCGACGTCGGCGATCCGTGTTTCCATCTGTTTTTATCGATCTGGGTTGGTCTCAGATCAACTCTCCCGACTCTTGCGATTCACAGTCGGCCCAGTCGTAACAATCGGAAGAAAGTGTTTCCATTAAAATCAGGAGACCAACGCAGACTGACGCAGACTGTCGCAGACCGTCGCCGACCCTCTTACGATTTTATGGGAACCAGGCTTTAAGGTGATGTGCTAAGGATCGTGAGACAAGGAGCTCTGCTAACTGATAAATCTTTTAACACTATTATGACGGATTGAGGGTGATATCTTTTTATTTGTCAACAGATCATCCATTTAAAGTCGACTTCTGGATCATGTCCTGATGAACCAGGGAAGAATGGCGATGACCTTCCACCGTGGCTTGTGCAGGAGCTTGAGGACGCCGATTTTATACCTATGCCGGGAGAGTCAGTTGAAAATGGTGTTAAAGAAGCATGGAAGGATGGCGACGAGTGTGAGACAACGGCGGCAGAAAGCGATGCAGCCTTACGTCAAGTAAATAGCCTAAATCAAGAGCTTCTTGCAAGAATAAGCGATCTGGAAGCAGAGAACGAGGAGTTGAGAAAGAAGAATAAAGAACAAGAGATTACAATCAATACTCTCAGGAAGCAAAACGAAATTTATGCTTCGTCCAACAAGAGGCTGTTGACGTTATCAGGTGGATTAAAATGAATGTGAGGTACGTTCATTATAGCAAGAGAAGTAAAATGTTCAAGTTATTCCATTTACCATTACTTGATTCTTAGATCTGCTTCTTATGAGGCTGCGATTAATATGTGAATCACTACGAGGCTTTATTGTTTTCCTTCGAATATCCGTAGCCAGTAGTAGGCTAATTTACAATTTTGCTGAAGTCATTAAATGTGTTTTCCCCACACGCGAAGGAATTTTTTTCATGGATTGTTATCAAAGTTGCATAAAGTTACTCGAAGGGGCAGCGCAGTAAGGCTGCATAATACTCGTATATGTAAATATGTTTGTGGAAGGAAGTAGGCTCGAATGGTGCGTTGTCGTACACGTGTCCAAGCAGATGACCTCCATCAGCAAGTGTCCTATTAATGTGTTCATCAGCTAACATACAAAATGCTGTCTTTGCATCCAATGTTGTTTAGGCAAAGCTCAGGACATTCGACAGAATAGAGAATTACGTTAAATCAAAGAATGGAGATTGATTAAAATTACATGTGATCTCTATTCTGTGGTTTAACGTAGTTGTAGTCGATATGCCAAAGAAGTTAAGTCACATTTAGTTTTAGTTTTGTGTAATAAATTCAGTGAGTTGTATTTATGAATCGTTCGATTCAATAATTTTTTGAGAATCCGACAGATCATGCAAAATTTAATCTACCTCAGTCTTAAGACTAGGTGGTGAATGAGTAACCTAACAAGGTCAACTCTTTTTCAATATTGGCTCGAACAATTCGTAACTCGTTGTTTTAAGAGGGTAGTAATATGTAATGGGCCTGTTCTGTGGACTTCAAATGCCCTATCGATTTCCAAAAGACAAAACTGTCCTAAATCACATAAAGAGAGAGAGAGAGATAGGTAGCACGCCCATTGGGCATCAATAAGAAGTTCTTTATGCAAAAATCTCAGGACTCAGATTTGGAAAAGTTCCGAATATATAGACCTTGATAAAGTGTTTGTTCATACCAGATATGATTCTGGGTGTACGATTGAAATATTTAAAAAAAATACACTGAAAAATGACTTCATGGTTTACTTTGAAATTATTTTAGCTGCCAAATACATAATAAACCCATAACTTCAATTGCGTCAAGTTCGAATTTGAAGGGATAAATTACATAAAGTTTTATTTAACCGACAGCATAATACCTGAGCTGATAGATTGTAAATTATTATATAAATATTTTGAATGCAGTCAAGGCTATGTTTTACTTATGTATTTACGTCTCATTTAAGTAAGAATTGAATTCTTGAAGACTCGTAGATTATAGACAAAGATATTTTAAGTATATCATAAACTGTGCCATTCAGTGAAATGAAGATGTATGTGTCACAGTTCAAAAAATTATAAAAAATGACTTTCTAACCTTTTTAACATCATCATAACAATATTCGTTTAAAAGCGATAAAAGTTTTGGATGAATTATGTTGGTTTTAAATAAACATTAAATCATTCTGTTGTCATCACCATGCGAGAACACCCTGTGTTATTCAGGCTTCGACTTTTGCTTCTGTGCTTCTGAATTAACTCTTTGATCTATTACGAATTATGATTGGAGCACAGAAATTGAGGGAAATAGCTAAAAGGTGCACATTTACACGCTTTGGTTGAAAGTCTGTCATTCCTCCTAAACTTTTGGGAAAATCTCCTTTTTCCAAGACGCTTACAGGTTTCTGGAAATGTGTTATTTTTTCTGAGAAATTCTGCCCCTTCTTATCTGTGCCCCTTCACCCTTGACATAATTCTGAAGATAAATTTGTGTAGCAAGACATCCGACACAGAACATAGCTCAATGCTGTTTTTATCAGAATCGTTTTCAATTTCGGTTATTACTCGGAGGGCCTAGCCTGCGTCACAGACCATCACCACCAAGGAGGAGATGGTGATGGTGGTGATGGTCTGTGACGCAGGCTAGGAGGGCCCCTCTTTATCTAGCCCCCAATATCACCCAGGTGAAAGACCAAAGTCGGTTTTAAGCTGATCGCTTTTAGATTATTGCAATTGTTTATGTTTCTGATGTGGCCTTTTTATTTGACAAGATTAAAATGGTTCATGGTCAGGAATTTCTTTGATAAGGAAAGGTTAACAATGAAACAAAACCAAAAAAGCCATAATAAGTGATTGCAAGACAAAGGCAACTGTTTTACCTCCGGGTATTTTAACATACTTACTAGTTATTTGAAGCTGCAACCTTTCTTCTTTGTTTTACCCACTTCTTTCGCTTCTTTTTAAGCTTTTATTTTCTTCAATATATTTACTGCGAATATTTCAGCCTTTTGAGAAATTTAATTCTCTAAATATCCCCATGAAGTGATTTTGAAAACACTGAGGAATCTTAATTCTTCACCATGTTGAAAACAGTCAGATCGAAATCTTTTCTGTTCCTCTTAATCGTTATATTCACTGGCGGACTGTCTTCTGGGTGAGAAAAGAAGCCAAACACAGAGAATTGACAGAGAATTGTGCTCAGCAAGACGCTTTTAATGTCAAGCATGGAGAAGCTAAAGGTTTACTTAAACATTTGCCTCAATTTTCATTTGCGCTTTATTATAAATCGTCTTTTTTGTTTTGTTTATCTACAACTCAGTTGGTCAGACCATTGCGAAACTTGTTAACATCTTTAGTTAGTGAAGAATCACACTTCTACAAACCGAACCATTGGGAAATAATTCTCCCTTGTCAAACAGAAGTCAAACAGAAGAAATATATCTTTCCAAAGATAATCTTTCTGGAAAAGAACTGCCCTATCCTGTTATTTCTATGTAAGAATATTTTTACCCCCTGGCCTGAGGTTTAACCTCCTTTATCTATATCCCTGGATATTAGCTCCAGTTAGCAATAAACAGCCAATAGGAATACAATACTAATTAATCTGATTTCTGAGGGATGACATTCCTCGGATTGTAGTAGTTTGTTTATTGATGAGGGAGAATAGCCTCAGATATTTGTATTTGCCACACAGATCTCAGAAAAGATGGCTGAGTTGAACCCTTCACATGTTCCAGTTAAAGTTATTGGCGGTGGGAATTTTTCAGAGATAATTGTTCTTAGGAAGAAAGAGGATAGCTCGCAGGTTTTGTGGAAAGCAATTGATCTCGGAGACTGTTCAGAGGACGACAAGGAAAGATCGTTGAGAGAGGTGCAGATTTTGAGCAAATTGAGGCATGTAAACATCGTCTCGTATCATGATGCTTTTATAGATGACACAAATCTTTGCTATGAAATGGAATTCTGCGAGGCTGGCACATTGTACCAGAAGATCATGAACAAGTGTGGTCCATTTTCAGAGACAACTGTTCTTTGGTATCTATATCAACTGTTGTCGGCTGTCGAGTTTATTCACTCTAAAAAGATTCTGCATCGAAACATTAACTCTTTGAATGTATTTCTAACAAAGTCGCACATATTGAAACTAGCGAATTTTGGGATAGCAAAAGTAATGGCTAACACTCCCAAAATGAACGTAGAGGCGTCTGGCGGGATACCATATTACATATCACCTGAGGTGGCAAGCAAAAAAGAGCGTTATAGCCAGAAGAGCGATGTCTGGGGTTGTGGTTGTGTTGTCTACGAGCTGCTCACTTTGTCACATGTCTTCGATGCCGAAGATTTGGTATCACTTGCTGTCTCAATCGCAGTGAAAAATTATGACGAAATACCGGAGGATTACTCTGAAGAGCTTTGTGATCTTTTGGAACAAATGCTGAGTGAGGAGAGTGGTAAAAGACCGTCTGCGTCAGAGCTGTTGTCTAATGATTTGTTTGTAGAAATTAAAAACAAGTTCATTAAAATTGCTAAAGATCTTAAGCTTCTTAGCGAAGAAGACGAAACAGATGGCGAAATAAACGGTCATGCTGATGCTCCCGTCAAGTTTTCGTCACAGATTGGTGAGATATTTTGCTGGGGAGGATCGAAGCCAATGCCGCAGAAAGTCGAGGAGTTCAGTTTGGAAAATCCAGGGCTGCAAGTTTCAACTGGAAGAAAGCATTTTGCTGTTATAAACGAGGAGCAAGAGTTGTTCACCTGGGCAGACATCTTACAAGATGAAAAGGAGGAGGAAGACGAAGATGAGGCAAATGAGGTCAACGAGGGCGAAAAGGGCAAAGGCCAAACTATCAAAGGTCAGCTTGGTCATGGAGACACTGCTCTTTATTTGTATCCAAAAAGAGTAGAGTTTTTCATAGGGATTCCTGTGACCCAGGTGTCTTGTGGGAAGGATTTTACTGCAATATTGACAGACGATGGAACCTTGTTTATGACCGGTTCTGATTTGGATGGCTGTATTGGATGTGATCGAGCATTGGGAGACGAGGTTCTTCTGCCACGCAAAGTAGACAAATTCACTAACTTAAAAGCTCTACAAGTTGACTGTGGAGATGCCCATGTTGTCGCGCTGGCAGAAGACGGTGAGGTTTATACATGGGGTTGCGGGCAATTCGGAAGATTAGGCCATGGGACAGAAGATGATGTTGCTTTGCCCGAAGCGATGCCATTGCCTCCAAATTGCAATAATATCATTGCAATCAAGTGTGGCTTGAACAATACGCTGATTTTAACTGAACAAGGCCATGTGGTAGGATGTGGCAGCAATGAATTTAACAAGATGGCGTTTAGCAATCGTGTTTCAGTGCACAGAATGGCAATCAAGAAGACTAACAAACAAGACTTCCGGACCTCCCCTCTGCCGATAAGAGCCCTCAAGTCGTACAAGATTGTTGCAGTCGACGCTGGACGAAGCCATTCAGCAGCCATTGATGACGAAGGCCGCGTGATCACTTTTGGTAATAATATGTATGGACAACTGGGCGCCGGTGATTTCAGGCAGAAATCAGCTGCGGTTGTTGTGAAAGGCCCTCTGTTAGGCAAGGAAGTTGTCAGAGTTGGTTGTGGTGATGGCTTCACTGTGGCTACAACTGCAGATAGTGTTTATGCATGGGGACTGGGAAGAGATGGCCGGCTAGGCTTAGATCCCAGTCTCCTTGGAGAGAAGGGATGTTGTTCGGTTCCACGAAGGGTATTTGGATCGTTAATTAAAGTGACCAGTTTAGCTTGCCAACAGATGCACACAATTTTGTTAGGCCAGCAGGTTTTCAGCAGAAATGTAAAGAACGAGAAGACAGAAAACGACGAGAAGCGCGCCGAAATAACTATCGAGAAACTTGGAGCTGAAAACTCCAGACTTGAGCGACTGTTATTGGAGCAAAAGAAGTCGCTTCGAGCGCTAGAGGAAGAAAACAGTCTGCTTAAATCAAAGTTAAGCAGCTAAAGACGGGAAAAAAAGACAGTTTTACGTTACCCGTTTTAACTTTTGATTACTTTCTTATTCTAAAAGTATTTGTCATATGCAATCTATATGATCTTGAAGTTCAAAAGGCATCGTTAAAAAGCAACATTTAAGGTTTTTCACTGGGGCTGAATATTTCAATATAAATTAGATAAAAGCAGACATCGCAAGACCTATTAATGCCTTTCGTCTAGCATATAGCCTTACTTTTTTTTAAAAATTGACCTCCCTGAAGTTCTTTAAAAATGTTCTTTAAATGCTCTGAATAATCATTAAATTTACTTCAACCGGTTTTTATCTCTATTTTATGAACTTTTAATCGACTTTTTCCATTAAAATAGCGACTCAAAAATCGCAATTTCTTGAAAGCCTATAGCCTTACTTTTTTCTTAAAAATTCACCTCCATGAAGTTCTTTAAAAATGTTCTTTAAATGCTCTGAATAATCATTGAATTTACTTCAACTGGTTTTTATCTCTATTTTATGAACTTTTAATCGATTTTTTTCCATAAAAATAGCGACTCAAAAATCGAAATTTTTCAAAGCCTATAGCCTTACTTTTTTCTTAAAAATTGACCTCCCTGAAGTTCTTTAAAAATGTTCTTTAAATGCTCTGAATAATCATTAAATGTACTTCAACTGGTTTTTATCTCTATTTTATGAACTTTTAATCGACTTTTTTCCATAAAAATAGCGACTCAAAAATCGAAATTTTTCAAAGCCTATAGCCTTACTTTTTTCTTAAAAATTGACCTCCCTGAAGTTCTTTAAAAATGTTCTTTAAATGCTCTGAATAATCATTGAATTTACTTCAACTGGTTTTTATCTCTATTTTATGAACTTTTAATCGATTTTTTTCCATAAAAATAGCGACTCAAAAATCGAAATTTTTCAAAGCCTATAGCCTTACTTTTTTCTTAAAAATTGACCTCCCTGAAGTTCTTTAAAATGTTCTTTAAATGCTCTGAATAATCATTAAATGTACTTCAACTGGTTTTTATCTCTATTTTATGAACTTTTAATCGATTTTTTTCCATAAAAATAGCGACTCAAAAATCGAAATTTTTCAAAGCCTATAGCCTTACTTTTTTCTTAAAAATTGACCTCCCTGAAGTTCTTTAAAAATGTTCTTTAAATGCTCTGAATAATCATTAAATGTACTTCAACTGGTTTTTATCTCTATTTTATGAACTTTTAATCGACTTTTTCCATTAAAATAGCGACTCAAAAATCGAAATTTTTCAAAGCCTATAGCCTTACTTTTTTCTTAAAAATTGACCTCCCTGAAGTTCTTTAAAAATGTTCTTTAAATGCTCTGAATAATCATTAAATGTACTTCAACTGGTTTTTATCTCTATTTTATGAACTTTTAATCGACTTTTTCCATTAAAATAGCGACTCAAAAATCGAAATTTTTCAAAGCCTATAGCCTTACTTTTTTCTTAAAAATTGACCTCCCTGAAGTTCTTTAAAAATGTTCTTTAAATGCTCTGAATAATCATTAAATGTACTTCAACTGGTTTTTATCTCTATTTTGTGAACTTTTAATCGACTTTTTCCATTAAAATAGCGACTCAAAAATCGCAATTTCTTATAAGCCTATAGCCTTACTTTTTTCTTAAAAATTGACTTCCCTGAAGTTCTTTAAAAATGTTTTTTAAATGCTCTGAATAATCATTGAATGTATTTCAACTGGTTTTTATCTCTATTTTATGTACTTTTAATCGATTTTTTCCATAAAAATAGCGACTCAAAAATCGAAATTTTTCAAAGCCTATAGCCTTACTTTTTTCTTAAAAATTGACCTCCCTGAAGTTCTTTAAAAATGTTCTTTAAATGCTCTGAATAATCATTCAAAGTGCTGAAACTGGTTTTTATCTCTATTTTATGAACTTTTAATCGATTTTTTTCCATAAAAATAGCGACTCAAAAATCGAAATTTTTCAAAGCCTATAGCCTTACTTTTTTCTTAAAAATTGACCTCCCTGAAGTTCTTTAAAAATGTTCTTTAAATGCTCTGAATAATCATTAAATTTACTTCAACCGGTTTTTATCTCTATTTTATGAAGTTTTAATCGACTTTTTCCATTAAAATAGCGACTCAAAAATCGCAATTTCTTATAAGCCTATAGCCTTACTTTTTTCTTAAAAATTGACTTCCCTGAAGTTCTTTAAAAATGTTTTTTAAATGCTCTGAATAATCATTGAATGTATTTCAACTGGTTTTTATCTCTATTTTATGTACTTTTAATCGATTTTTTCCATAAAAATAGCGACTCAAAAATCGAAATTTTTCAAAGCCTATAGCCTTACTTTTTTCTTAAAAATTGACCTCCCTGAAGTTCTTTAAAAATGTTCTTTAAATGCTCTGAATAATCATTAAATGTACTTCAACTGGTTTTTATCACTATTTTATGAACTTTTAATCGATTTTTTTCCATAAAAATAGCGACTCAAAAATCGAAATTTTTCGAAGCCTATAGCCTTACGTTTTTCTTAAAAATTGACCTCCCTGAAGTTCTTTAAAAATGTTCTTTAAATGCTCTGAATAACCATTAAATGTACTTAAACTGGTTTTTATTTCTATTTTATGAACTTTTAATCGACTTTTTTCCATAAAAATAGCGACTCATAACTCGAAACTTTTCTAAGCCTATAGCCTTACTTTTTCCTCAAAATTGACCTCGCTGAAGTTCTTTAAAAATGTTCTTCAAATGCTCCAAATAATCATTCAAAGTGCTGAAACTGGTTTTTATCTCTATTTTATGAAGTTTTAATCCACTCTTTTCCATTAAAATAGTGACTCATAATTCGGAACTTTTCTAAGCCTATAGTCTTACATTTTTCTCAAAATTGACCTCCCTGAAAATGAAAAAAAAATTTCTTCAAATGCTTCAAATAATCATTCAAAGTGCTGAAAATGGTTTTTATCGCTATTTTTTGAGTTTCTAATCGACTTTTTTCCATAAAAATAGTGACTCAAAATTCGAAATTTTTCAAAGCCTAAAGCCTTACTTTTTTCTCCAAAATTGACCTTGCTGAAGTTCTTTAAAAATGTTCTTCCAAAGCTCTGAATAATCAATAAAAGTACTGAAACTGGTTTCTATCTCTATTTTATGAAGTTTCTAATCGACTTTTTTCCATCAAAATAGTGACTCATAATTCGAAACTTTTCTAAGCCTATAGCCTTACTTTTTTCTCCAAAATTGACCTGCCTGAAATTCTAAAAAAAAGTTTTTCAAATGCTCTGAATAACCATTAAATGTACTTAAACTGGTTTTTATTTCTATTTTATGAACTTTTAATCGACTTTTTTCCATAAAAATAGCGACTCATAACTCGAAACTTTTCTAAGCCTATAGCCTTACTTTTTCCTCAAAATTGACCTCGCTGAAGTTCTTAAAAAATGTTCTTCAAATGCTCCAAATAATCATTCAAAGTGCTGAAACTTGTTTCTATCTCTATTTTATGAAGTTTTAATCCACTTTTTTCCATTAAAATAGTGACTCATAATTCGAAACTTTTCTAAGCCTATAGTCTTACATTTTTCTCAAAATTGACCTGCCTGAAAATCAAAAAAAAAAGTTCTTCAAATGCTCCAAATAATCATTCAAAGTGCTGAAAATGGTTTTTATCGCTATTTTATGAGTTTGTAATCGACTTTTTTCCATAAAAATAGCGACTCAAAATTCGAAACTTTTCTAAGCCTATAGCCTTACTTTTTTCTCCAAAATTGACCTTGCTGAAGTTCTTTAAAAATGTTCTTCCAAAGCTCTGAATAATCAATAAAAGTGCTGAAACTGGTTTCTATCTCTATTTTATGAAGTTTCTAATCGACTTTTTTCCATAAAAATAGTGACTCATAATTCGAAACTTTTCTAAGCCTATAGCCTTACTTTTTTCTCCAAAATTGACCTGCCTGAAATTCTAAAAAAAAGTTTTTCAAATGCTCTGAATAACCATTAAATGTACTTAAACTGGTTTTTATTTCTATTTTATGAACTTTTAATCGACTTTTTTCCATAAAAATAGCGACTCAAAAATCGAAACTTTTCTAAGCCTATAGCCTTACTTTTTCCTCAAAATTGACCTCCCTGAAGTTCTTTAAAAATGTTCTTTAAATGCTCTCAATAACCATTAAATGTACTTAAACTGGTTTTTATTTCTATTTTATGAACTTTTAATCGATTTTTTTCCATAAAAATAGCGACTCAAAAATCGAAATTTTTCGAAGCCTATAGCCTTACTTTTTCCTCAAAATTGACCTGCCTGAAATTCTAAAAAAAAGTTCTTTAAATGCTCTGAATAATCATTACATGTACTTCAACTGGTTTTTATCTCTAAAATTTTAAATGCTTCAAATAATCATTCAAAGTGCTGAAAATGGTTTTTATCGCTATTTTTTGAGTTTCTAATCGACTTTTTTCCATAAAAATAGTGACTCAAAATTTGAAATTTTTCAAAGCCTAAAGCCTTACTTTTTTCTCCAAAATTGACCTTGCTGAAGTTCTTTAAAAATGTTCTTCCAAAGCTCTGAATAATCAATAAAAGTGCTGAAACTGGTTTCTATCTCTATTTTATGAAGTTTCTAATCGACTTTTTTCCATAAAAATAGTGACTCATAATTCGAAACTTTTCTAAGCCTATAGCCTTACTTTTTTCTCCAAAATTGACCTGCCTGAAATTCTAAAAAAAAGTTTTTCAAATGCTCTGAATAACCATTAAATGTACTTAAACTGGTTTTTGTTTCTATTTTATGTACTTTTAATCGATTTTTTTTCATAAAAATAGCGACTCAAAAATCGAAATTTTTCGAAGCCTATAGCCTTACTTTTTTCTTAAAAATTGACCTCCCTGAAGTTCTAAAAAAAGTTCTTTAAATGCTCCGAATAATCATTAAATGTACTTCAACTCTGGTTTTTTTTTATCTCTATTTTATGAAGTTTTAATCGACTTTTTTCCATTAACATAGTGACTCATAATTCGGAACTTTTCTAAGCCTATAGTCTTACATTTTTCTCAAAATTGACCTCCCTGAAAATGAAAAAAAAATTTCTTCAAATGCTTCAAATAATCATTCAAAGTGCTGAAAATGGTTTTTATCGCTATTTTTTGAGTTTCTAATCGACTTTTTTCCATAAAAATAGTGACTCAAAATTCGAAATTTTTCAAAGCCTAAAGCCTTACTTTTTTCTCCAAAATTGACCTTGCTGAAGTTCTTTAAAAATGTTCTTCCAAAGCTCTGAATAATCAATAAAAGTGCTGAAACTGGTTTCTATCTCTATTTTATGAAGTTTCTAATCGACTTTTTTCCATAAAAATAGTGACTCATAATTCGAAACTTTTCTAAGCCTATAGCCTTACTTTTTTCTCCAAAATTGACCTGCCTGAAATTCTAAAAAAAAGTTTTTCAAATGCTCTGAATAACCATTAAATGTACTTAAACTGGTTTTTATTTCTATTTTATGAACTTTTAATCGACTTTTTTCCATAAAAATAGCGACTCATAAGTCGAAACTTTTCTAAGCCTATAGCCTTACTTTTTCCTCAAAATTGACCTCGCTGAAGTTCTTTAAAAATGTTCTTCAAATGCTCCAAATAATCATTCAAAGTGCTGAAACTGGTTTCTATCTCTATTTTATGAAGTTTTAATCGACTTTTTTCCATAAAAATAGCGACTCATAACTCGAAACTTTTCTAAGCCTATAGCCTTACTTTTTCCTCAAAATTGACCTCCCTGAAAATGAAAAAAAAAGTTCTTCAAATGCTCCAAATAATCATTCAAAGTGCTGAAAATGGTTTTTATCGCTATTTTATGAGTTCTAATCGACTTTTTTCCATAAAAATAGCGACTCATAAGTCGAAACTTTTCTAAGCCTATAGCCTTACTTTTTCCTCAAAATTGACCTCGCTGAAGTTCTTTAAAAATGTTCTTCAAATGCTCCAAATAATCATTCAAAGTGCTGAAACTGGTTTCTATCTCTATTTTATGAAGTTTCTAATCGACTTTTTTCCATAAAAATAGTGACTCAAAATTCGAAACTTTTCTAAGCCTATAGCCTTACTTTTTTCTCCAAAATTGACCTTGCTGAAGTTCTTTAAAAATGTTCTTCCAAAGCTCTGAATAATCAATAAAAGTGCTGAAACTGGTTTCTATCTCTATTTTATGAAGTTTCTAATCGACTTTTTTCCATAAAAATAGTGACTCATAATTCGAAACTTTTCTAAGCCTATAGCCTTACTTTTTTCTCCAAAATTGACCTGCCTGAAATTCTAAAAAAAAGTTTTTCAAATGCTCTGAATAACCATTAAATGTACTTAAACTGGTTTTTATTTCTATTTTATGTACTTTTAATCGATCTTTTTCCATAAAAATAGCGACTCAAAAATCGAAATTTTTCGAAGCCTATAGCCTTACTTTTTTCTTAAAAATTGACCTCCCTGAAGTTCTAAAAAAAGTTCTTTAAATGCTCTGAATAATCATTAAATGTACTTCAACTGGTTTTTATCTCTATTTTATGAAGTTTTAATCGACTTTTTTCCATTAACATAGTGACTCATAATTCGGAACTTTTCTAAGCCTATAGTCTTACATTTTTCTCAAAATTGACCTCCCTGAAAATGAAAAAAAAATTTCTTCAAATGCTTCAAATAATCATTCAAAGTGCTGAAAATGGTTTTTATCGCTATTTTTTGAGTTTCTAATCGACTTTTTTCCATAAAAATAGTGACTCAAAATTCGAAATTTTTCAAAGCCTAAGCCTTACTTTTTTCTCCAAAATTGACCTTGCTGAAGTTCTTTAAAAATGTTCTTCCAAAGCTCTGAATAATCAATAAAAGTGCTGAAACTGGTTTCTATCTCTATTTTATGAAGTTTCTAATCGACTTTTTTCCATAAAAATAGTGACTCATAATTCGAAACTTTTCTAAGCCTATAGCCTTACTTTTTTCTCCAAAATTGACCTGCCTGAAATTCTAAAAAAAAGTTTTTCAAATGCTCTGAATAACCATTAAATGTACTTAAACTGGTTTTTATTTCTATTTTATGAACTTTTAATCGACTTTTTTCCATAAAAATAGCGACTCATAACTCGAAACTTTTCTAAGCCTATAGCCTTACTTTTTCCTCAAAATTGACCTCGCTGAAGTTCTTTAAATGCTCAAATGCTCCAAATAATCATTCAAAGTGCTGAAACTGGTTTCTATCTCTATTTTATGAAGTTTTAATCGACTTTTTTCCATTAACATAGTGACTCATAATTCGGAACTTTTCTAAGCCTATAGTCTTACATTTTTCTCAAAATTGACCTCCCTGAAAATGAAAAAAAAAATTCTTCAAATGCTTCAAATAATCATTCAAAGTGCTGAAAATGGTTTTTATCGCTATTTTTTGAGTTTCTAATCGACTTTTTTCCATAAAAATAGTGACTCAAAATTCGAAATTTTTCAAAGCCTAAAGCCTTACTTTTTTCTCCAAAATTGACCTCGCTGAAGTTCTTTAAAAATATTCTTTAAATGCTCTGAATAACCATTAAATGTACTTAAACTGGTTTTTATTTCTATTTTATGAACTTTTAATCGACTTTTTCCATAAAAATAGCGACTCAAAAATCTAAATTTTTCAAAGCCTATTGCCTTACTTTTATTTCCAAAATTGACCTACCTTCAATTTTTTGAAAATGTTCTTCAAAAGTTCTGACTGGTTTTTATCGCTGTATTATGAACTTGTAATCAACCATTTTTAGATAAAAACATCAACCCAAAAATCTAAATTTGACCTTAGTTTTTCTCTAAATTTGACCTACCTTAAATTTTTTTGAAAATATTCTGCGAGTGTTGTGAATATTTATAAAATATCGACTCAGAAATCGGAATCCTTCAAACGCTGATACACGAGCAAACAGAACATTTGAGAAAGAATTGCACTCATCAGTGATTGATGGCAGACAATGATTTTAGCAAAAGCAAACTGGCTGACTTTTAGAAACAACGAAGTCTTCAAAATAAATGCACGAGATAACTTCTTACGTTTAGAAATGCAAGAAAATCGAACACAAAAAGAAGTACAGTAAAAATTCAAAAAATGTAAAAATTTAATTTATGCGGCTAAGTATGATGGAAACAATTTTCAACCCAAGCAATATTTCATTTCAAAGTTACCGGAAGTTTAATACCTCTCTTCTTCCGCCTTTTTAATTCATTTTTGCTTTTTTTAGGCATTGGATGTGTATCTGAAGACTTTATTAAAGTACGTGAACGTTCACAAACCACTTCAGATAGATCTGACCCCCGTCTTTTCCTTGATCTGTGTTTCTTACTAATGCCATCCGATGCAGTGCAACTTTTTTCCAATTCTTGGCTTTCGCTTCCTTGCATTCTTTTAAATACAGCAACAAAGAAACCATTTGTTTTATCAACATCTGGGCTCGCACGCAAGCAGTAGGGTCCTTGGCAGAAAAGAAAGCAAATTTATGGATGAAAAAGGTTAACTTAATTGAAAAAGCAAAACATACAATCCAACGGGAGGTTACAGGGAGATACTTCAGTGCCTCGGGTATCTTAGCTTTGATCAAGCTGTAACTGAACTAAAGCTCTTTCAATTTCTCTGAATGTTCTTCCTCAACACATTTAAAGTCAATACTTATTATATAGGGTAAGGGTTAGAGTAAGGGTTAGTTTAGGGATAGGGTTAGAGATAGGGTTGGGGCAAGGCTTAAAGTCAATACAATGTTAAGTCAATACTTAACACAAAACTGGCAGTAGGTGCACCTTGAGTCAGAGACGGGAAGAATTCTTTGGATAGACATAGTGAATCGAGGTAGCACAGGTTCATTTAAAGTCTTACTGTCGTTTTAAGATATTACATATATAACGTCGTTATATATAACGCCCACACTGAATTGTTGGTTGCCAATAATTCATTTGACAAATCAAGCGAAGACATTTCTGACGAAACTATCCAACAAGCCAATGATTATGATAGCCCGCCCGAAGATAAAGCGAATGTCGAAAGCATTTGTCAAAGGAATGCCAGAAACTGACAGAATACAAGGCATAGAATATGTTGATGTTATTCGCAACACCAGCAGGAAAGTTGCGTCTGATTCTGACAGGTAGGTTTTATGACATACTTGTTGGGCCTAAACATTTGTTCGGGCTTACTTCTGTTTAATAGGTCAAATCAATCAGTTGCAATGTGTTCTGGCATGTTACAGGCTACACAAACAGTTTCCCTTCTATCAAAATTGTTATTTTCCTTCTTGAATGGGTTTTTTTACTCTGTCAGTGATTGGTATCAAACAGAAAAGCGCTTCTAGTGTGTGACCGCCCAGGAAATGATCAAAACGAGGCTATCGGGCAATTTATAACGACAGTAAGATTTTAAAGATACCGATTAGCAAAAATCAAACGAACCTAGTTCCGATGACTCCAGCCCTCGATGCTCCCAATGTGGCAGCAATTTGATCATTGAAAACTTGTCAGAGAAGCGCTTGTAAGCCCTTTCCACCACAGTTTCGTTTTCCTGTTAATTCAAATTATTAGATAAAATAAACCTATATTGAAGCAGTAGATTAAAGAGTTGTATAAAGATAATGCCAATGAAGGATGGCATGACTGAATGATAGCATGATCGAAAGATTGTGCTATCGAATGATTGTTTGATTGAATGATAGTATGATCGAAAATATGACTAAATGATAGTATCATAGAAAGGATGCGTCATCAAATGATGGTATGATTGAATGATGGCGTATGATTGAAAGAATGATTCAATGATGGTCTGATCGAAAGAATGCATGATTGAATGATTGTATGACTGAATGATAGTATGATTGAAAGCTTCATTGAAAGGCTGTATAATTGAATTATGGTGTGATTGAATGATTGCCAGATACAATGACAGTATGACTAAATAATGACATGCTTGAATAATGATATGATGAAATGATGATGTGATTAAATGTTGGCATGGTTAATGATAGAGTGATTCAAAGGCAATATGATTCAATTGTGGTATGCTTGAATCAAAAGGTATGATTAAATGATGATATAGTTGAATGTTAGAGTATCTTTGAATGATGGTACAGCTGTATGTGTATGATGAAACAATAATGTGATTGAGTAATAGTATGAAGGTATGCAAGTATGGTTGAACAATGGCCTGAAATTATTCTTGAATGAATCGATGACTGAATGATGTTATGATTTGATGATAGCACGAAAGTTTTCTTGAACGTGTTGGAGTATGTTGTAGTGATAGCATGACTTGTAAATGAAGTGAATGCTGGCACGATAAAAGGATGCATGGGGTATTTGGGGGTGAGAAAATTACACGGTAATGAGAACATTTACGGCTCAGTTTGGAACAGGAACATTTCAATTCTAGGAAGGAAATGACATACTATCTTTCATATTTGAACTCTAAAGATGGCTGGTGGCAATTAAAATTCGAAAAATCCTTTCGGACCAACAACCTGCTAATACTATGTGAATTAGAAATTTGATGTTTTAAAAACGTAGCATGATATATAAATTGATAACACAATAACCACGTACCTGAACATGAATGGAACAAGTTGAATAGGAGACTTTTTTGACTTGTGGAAAGGACAGAGCATGGCACAGCATGGCGTACTGGAATTTCGATAATGCTTCAAGGCGAGAGTGTAGTCTTTCCTAGAGAAGAACAAAGAGCAGCTAATGCTTATCTGATCTTGGGCGCTTACAAAAACAAAAAGGGGCTTTTCACAAAACGTACCAAAAAATTGAACAAAATATTGACAAGAAGAAGATAAAAAGAATTGTATCTTTAATGACGATATAGCTTGATTCTTGAACCAGCGAAGGAAAGACCGTGGAGTAATCAAAGCATTATTCGAAAAAAGCGTCGAAGAACTGAATATATATTATCCATAACGTGTGAAAAAAGAAATATATGATGAACGTACGTTGTGTTATCGAATAACAACAGTGACGAGCTTATTCATACAATAATAGTTTATAGTGGAGAGTGGCTGACAGACGCCTTCTGTCTGTTCGCTGAGTTTAGATTAGATAACTATTGCGCATGAGATTAAGAATCAAATTTCATCTTGCATGAGTGAGCAAGGTGCCACTGAAACAGTTTTCATTGAGCCTTAGTTTCCGTCACCATTTCACAGCGATTTTATTATGAGAGCGATGTTTGCCTTGAAACAAGACTTCAAGCAACAAAAATATGGCATAATATATACAAGCAGAATTAATAACAACAAAAAGATACCAACTGTATTGTCAGACTCGTTATCCAAGAGATGGTCCATGCGAGACACCATCCCACTTCCTGAACAACTCGGGTCTAACAAGATATACTTGACATTTTGAAATCTTTTATCTTTGGGGTCTGCCTATTGAACAGGAAAACAAAATAAACACTCGAGAATTCGTGATCAATACAAGGCTTCAGAATGCATCGATGAAAGCGAACATTTTTTATCTATATTCCAGACGCATTCTGCTTTAAAAACCAAAAGAAATGGATGACGACAAAAAGTGATAGAAAACATAACAAACTTTACAATTTAATTTGTCAGTAGATGACAAAATGGAAAAAGTAGCACCTCTTAAAAGTCTCCTGCGTTTCAGTTTTTTTTTCTGCTCTCGATTATTATTTGGGTGCAAACGTAAAAAAAATTCGGGCATTATCTTATATTTCATAAATTGATCGCTGTTGAACAAATTACATTTGATCAAGCATACAAAGTGTATAAAATTTCAATTGCTCTTTTTATGCGGACAGCTTAAAATACTGTCTAATAGTTTAGAAGCAATGCAAAGCGGACTTTGCAAACGGAAAACGAAGAAAAATGAACCAACTTTCAAGAAGTCCTGGTGCATTGCTTCCACGTTTTTTGTGCCTGCTTTCTTCAGCTGACTTTTCAATAAGCGTAGTCTTTTAACATCCAAATCAAATGCATATATTTTCCTATTGGAAGAAAATACGGTGAGAATGTATGACAATATATTGTTCGCAATAGGAACACATAACAAGAAAAAGCCCGCAGTATCTATTATCAAAGCTACTTTTGGCGGCATGGAGTGCAGATACACGACAAGGACACCATACCAGAATGATAAAATAAAAAGGGCTGCCACTTCATTGACATGGAAAAAATTGAAGGAAAATCAGACTATGGCGTAGATCAGTTCAACAAGAAGGTTTTGGACAAGTTAAACGGGTGTTCTGAAGGCGAAACAGGTAAAAAGCAAGAGTAAGAAGAGAAATATACCAATAAATGGGGAGGATCGTGGATACGAAAAGTTATAATTGGTGGTTTGGGGGTAAGGGAATTAGAAGATTAAGGATGCGAGGATGGCTCAGTGGTTACCTTCACAGACTACAGCCCTGGGGTCCAAATCCCTAACATGGCCAAATTTTCACCTAGAGTGAGAAGAGTTGCCAGCTCTCTGCAATTCCAGGCATAGGAATCATGAGGTGTGGTCACATTGAGAGAAAGGACCAGGACACTGCTCGATCACCACAGTTTCTTCTTGTCCTAAAGCTACCCCCCTCCCCCAATGCTAGGTAGAAACAAATACAAGTGAAGGATAAAATGAGGAAGTACTGTGTTTTTTCAACAGAATGCTATTCATGCTCAGTAATTTTTGGTAAGACCCTGTGGTTTTCTGTTTCAATCAAGAATAATTCTACTGTTTCCTACCCTTGGTTTTCCATAATGGCTGACAGATGAGTTGTTTTGTTTCCTGGTGCAGCACAGGCATCAATCACAGTTGACGATGGCTCTGGTTTCAGGAGAAATGCAGGTAAGCAGCTAGCCTATGGATAGCAAGAATTTTTTTACCAGTTAATTTGCAATTGTTGCTGCATCGTTTTTACAAGAAAAGCGAACAAATTAAATGGAAAGGTTTCAAAAACTGTTTTAGACAAAACCATTTAAAATAATCTCAGAAAGGTTACAGAAAATGTGAGAAATCCATTTGACTTGGTTTGAATTCAAAAAACAATTTCCATACATGGAAAGTTACAAGGGTTTTAACACAAGCAAAAATAAAACTATTATAGGCATACCTTGTCTTGCAGGAGGATGTGACCATTTATGTACAAAGGATGCTCATGGAGATCAGTACCAGGACTAAATACAAGCAAATCTGGAATATGTTGGTCAGAAAAAAACTCGTCCTCACCAAGGTTTTCTAGCTGCAATGAATAAACATAGTATATGGACATTAAAATAGAATGAGCAAGGGAGTAGTGACAGCAAAAAATATTGAATATTTGATGTCTCTGAAAAACAATTCTTAGATTAAATCAAACTTTGATTATCAGATTTTGATGATATGATTATCGTTATGAATTCTAAGATTATCAGATTTAAAGATTAAATAAAGCTTACAAACACTTTGAGTGATGAACTGATAAAAATTTTAAAGACTGAAAAAAGAGAACATGAATGCAATATCCTAATTATATCACAATCAACATTTCTAAAGCAATATTTTATCAGCCATTTTCACAGTGAATACACAAATACAATGATGAACATGCAATAAATCTCTGTCTTGAAAAAATACAAATCTACCTAAAAATGTCCAGAAACAACATTTCATGTGTTGCCTTTAGATTGGATGATAATATTGACCAAACATTAATAAAGATATACTAGCTGATGTTAATTGATGAATCATTGATAAGTTTAATTGAATCATGACAAAAATCAAACAAAAAATCTTCTACCTTCTTATTCACAAATTTCCAACCTTCAGATTCCAGTTTTTTGATAACTTGATCAATGGCAGTTTTAATAGTATTAATTCTGACATATCTTGGCAAAGAAACTATGGGATTGAAAACATTAAATATTTCTTGTTTCATCATAAATAAATATTTCAATTTAATGTTCATCAGAACACCATAAATCCTTGAATTAGCCCCAGGGGGCTTATTAATTTTTGATATTTTTTGATGGGGGCTTATTCAAGGGGAGGCTTATATGAGAGGGGGGCTTATAATTTTTTTTAGAAATTAAGAAGACATTATTAAAAGACCTTGTTTATTTTGTAGGAATTTCTTTATGAGCCTTAAATTAATTGAGGGGTTCCAATTCAAGAAATTACAGTAGCAGTGGGGGCTTATTTGAGGGGGGGCTTTTTGAGGGTTTTTTTAGGGGGGCCAATTGGAGGACCTACGTTAGATACCAAGTTGGTAAGCATGTATCCTGACTGGTAACGATCTGGTGATAAGATAAGCTACTAGCAGAATGTTTTTATTTGTGCAAAACTTGCCAAAAATAATCATAAACCATGATTTGTATTCAAAAATAGGGTAAAAAAGGAATGAAATAAGATCTAAACATATATGCTAACATCTAATACTGAGCATGATTAATATCTTTTACTTGCAAACAAAAGCATACCTGTGTCATTTGCAACACATTCTGTACTCTTATTAGTTTTCTGGAATTCATCAAGCAAGTGAAAAAGTTGTCTTTTATTGCTTCGCACAAAATGACCAATTCTACCACCACATCTAATACCTCTTCCAAACAAAATGTCATAAGCTAGGACCAGCTGCAAGCTTTCATCCAACTAAGCAGAAACAATCAATCATACATTTGATAAATGCTGGTTATATGATCATAAAAATAAAGATGATACAGAAATCAACTAAATTTATCAGGTTGAATCCCAACAAAACCTTCATTGTAATGGTCCAACAAGCTCTAGAAGTAGATTTGAGAAATTGCATCTCAAGAAATTTATGTACCTTGTCAAATGCATCATCTTCATCAATCTGCTTTAACAATTGGCTTAGGACTGTTTGGTCTAGAATGAATAAAAAATAACACGGGTTGTTATCGAACACATAACTGTTTTTTATTTCTAACAAAAAATTGTAACAAGTGACTAGTAGAGTACAATATCAGCCTTGATATGGCTTTTTAGATCCTGGTGTACTTTTGAAAGTTCTTTACCATTGTTCCATGTTAGAAAAATGCAAAAAACAATTAGGCTGAAAAAAAATTCAGATTTGTTGATGTAACTTGTGTGACAATCACACTGTTTAAAGGGACAGGAAGCTCGTGGCTTTGATAAGTTGTGATGTGATTGAAACAAAAGCACCGGCCTCAATAGTTGTAAGGCCTTTTTGCTTTGTTTGCGTTGCATTCAACGTTGATTTTTGTAACAGTTGAGTTGAGAATACTTACGTTTCAATGTCTGGCAAACCAGGGCATAAAGCTTCTTCTTATTAGCAAGACTACTGTTAAAACAAAGCCCTTTCACGCTTCCTTTTTTCAACTTTGCTTGTTCTATAACACTTGATGCCTCTCTGTAAAGCTCCTCCATATTCGAAATGCATGTGGTGACCACAGATAAATTTTGTTGCTGCCGTTGCTGTTGTTGCTGTTGCTGCTCTTCCTGGAAGCCTCTGATCTATAAAAAAGACTGGATCGAGCTTCCTGTTGTCTTGAAAGACCAAAATTTGAAGCCCGTTCAATTTCAAAAGGAAGAGGGCCCCAAACAATAGCGGGAAGCCATTCCTCATAACCAATACTTCAACGATATGGATACGCGAGAGCTGCAATGCTGTGTGTATGATTGCTGAAAAAGATCAAGGCCAGAGCAGCTGAAAACATTGCAAGGGGTGACAGAGCAGGCCGTCTCCTCGCATGGGCTGTTCTGGGGCCCTCTTCTCGGATGGCAACACTCTGGTCACATTAGAAGTCCGATCCAGTCTTTTTTATAGATCAGTGCTGGAAGCCTGTTGCTGCATATTATAAAAAATATACGAAGGCGAGGATTGTTTAAAAACTATTCTTAAGCATAAGAAAGTTGTCTACAATATTACGATAAAGAATGTAAAACTACAAAATGATAACCCCACGTTACATTACAGTTTTAGGTTTAAAAACAAACTGGGTAAATACCAGGGCCTGGACCCTCTAAAAATCTAGAGCAAAACGATGTTGTGTAAGAAATTATCGTCCTTACTTTTAAAGAAATGGAATTGGTGATGGCTGGGTTAGAGCTAAACTAAGGTTGTCCGTATTGTTCTAACTAACTTCAACCACTGTGGAATGTTGTCAAGCATTAACATTTTCATGGCCGTTGTTAGTGTAAGCAGGATGGTGTTTGGTTGGTGCCTGTGTTCAAGGGGCGAATCGTCCCAAATATCTTATCCATCACTTCAATGTATTTAAAAATATGCGAGAAAAGAATCGTTTAAGTCGTCATAAACTTCGAGAAATCAGCATAACACGATTATTCATTAGACGCCTTTTCATCAAGTCCTAGCTCAAGACCTATGTAGTTCCTAAAGTTCCTAAACTCTGGACCCCTATTAATCGCAATGCGGTACCAAAACATAAATAATAGCTCCTTAATTTTAACAGCACATTAAATGCCACGGAAAAAGCATAGACGCAAGGAAAACATAAAAATCCGATTTTTGATTTGCCTGGAGCTCGGAAACAAAGCAAAAAACATGGAGAGCAAAAAAGGATTATGTGCAAAAATGAAATGTTATTCGACATTACTGAGCAAAGAGATCTCGCATACAAGACCCGTCTACGTTTAAGCAATGTATCGTTTGCACAGGCCTCTAACTACCCAAATTTTGAGCTGCATACAGAAAAACAGTTGCAGAATTTCACAATGCTTTTAATTGGTCTAAAAAAGATAGGTATTTATTCTTTACCAAGATCTTTGAGATATCATGACTACAAAAATACTTTTACCATAAAGTATTTTGCAAACACTAGGTAGGTAAACCTATCGATAGGTAGACACAACTCGAAGTTCAAAAAGATATGCTGACTTTTGTACCTACGCGAGATGTAAGACCTTAAACTAACCAATTAAACATTATGAACTCTACGTCAATGTGGGTGTTTCACACCAAACATCAACTGAAGGTAGTATGTTCAAAATAAAACAAGCTGGTCTGAAAGGAAAAATGTATCTCTTTAATAATTCTACAATCTCTAAAACTATCGCTAGATCTGCTAAATCAAAAACATCAGTTTAGAAGGATTTAATAAAATAGCCAAGTAATTAAAATAAACCTAAAGCTTGAAAATCTGTAACAAAAATCAGTGGATTTTCTAAACTGCGAAACATGATACGGCTACTCTAGAATTAATTTTGGTCTTGATCTCTTTTGAGAGACAAATTAGGCTTAAGCACTAAATGTCTCTAAAACGTGGCAAAGCACAGGGAACTGATGAAAGAATGTCGAGCGACGAAGTTTTCTGCTTGATAACTGACTGGAAAATAAAAATGAAATTACCATACAATCATCAATACAATCAATTTCAACTATCTACTGTGCTCAGCGGATCATCTCGTCTGGTAGGCATCAAAACTTGCATAAAATCTGTTTGCCTGATCAAAGTTAAGGGGTGAGAAACAATCTCGGAGGCCATTTTCGAGAGATGGGGTGCCATTTTGAAGCAATAGATGGATCGCGTTGGAGGCAAAATAAAGGCTTTCATATTCATTTCTACATCTAGCACAGCTATTACCGTCAATTTTAGACCACAGTCCGGGCAGCTCTTCTCACTGTAAACAATAAGTGTGCGCATATCAGTCAAAAAACACTAAAATCTGCTCGAAATAAAACCGAGAAAGGGGGTGGAGCATTTTGCCTATATATGTACAAAGGATGGGGCTTTATGATCCTCGTTCTAGCCACCAGCACGATTTTCCAGATAAATAGCCCAATTTGGTGCGAAATTCGATAAAGACTGCTTCACGGGGAATAGGGATAAGTGTCCTTCTTCGGTAAATCGATATTTCATGAGGTAAGCTGCCATGAAATCATCACTACTTATCGGAGCAACTAAACACTAAAATGTTAAGTCCAAGTAATAAATTAGCTTATCGTTAAGTACAGTTACGTGAGTTGGTCTAAATTTTAGACCAATTAAGCATCTTCCGGCTGCGTAGGCTCACCATTCACGTACTGCGCAGATGCATGGGTCCCATTTGGTTTAATATGCTCTGCATAATCATCGAAGTCTTCGGCGGTGACTTTTCTCCGATGGGCATCCATTGTTTTGCCAACATCCTCTTGCTTAATAAGTTTCATCGAAGGCCTTCGTGTGCTCTTCATTTCGCTGTCGTTGGATACCGTCAATGTCTTGAAGGTGTGCTTTGCAGCTTGGATCTGACTGAGGTCAAATTCAACGGTAGAGAGCTCGTCCTGTCCTTCACGGCGCACCATACCATCAATCTAAAGGAAGATAATCGCTTTAAGAAATCCGAAGTGCCCTTCCATTTTCAAATTGAGATGAAACCGCATTTATTTCCACTATAAATGGCTCATAAAGTTGTACATTTTTGTAGCTTTTTGACTGTGATAAGCAAGTTTTACACAAATTATAAAAAGCATTATTTTATAAGAAAAGGTAGGAACAAAGCGAAAGACAAAATAACAAGAACCCAATATGCTGTAAAATAGAGTTTTAAAATAAATCAAATCTTAAAATAATATTTCAGCCCGTCTAACAGGGCTTCTGCTTATTATAACATGAAACATTGCATCATTCACAGAATCCGGTGAACATCCTTTCCTGTTTATGTTCTTTCTTACATGCAATAATCTTCTTCTTTTTATTGATTTTAGCAGATCCAATTTGGATGGATTAGCTGTATACATAGATATATAAACGTAGAAAAGGAATCAAACTTAAACAAGGTAACAAAAATATAAAAAACAAATACGATGCAAAAATATATGGAAGGCCAAAGTAAGTTATATTTCGTGATTATTGCAGTTCAGTAACATTCATATGTCCTTACTACTGGCAACGATAGGTGATGATAATTATATAAAAGGAATAAAACAAAGGCCCAGTAAAATAGAAATTTGCATGCTTTGACGGAAAAACATATAGGGTTTCTAATCTGATCTGTTTTTTAATCAGTTTCTTATTTGATTTTTACAACTTCCCACTAGATGCTAAGTTTCGCAAATGAAACAATCGTTGACACAGATTAGCAATAACTTCTTTCCCGTTAAAGGAATGTTTGCTTTGAATCTTTGTGGCAAAAAAATAATAGACTTCTAACCAAGTAAGATAGAAAACTTTTCAGTTATTTTCATGTAGTTAAAAAACAGTTTGTTTTTCGTTTCAACTACGACTTCAACGAAAAATAAACAAATAATGAACAGAATACCTCAGAGCCATCACCGTATGTCTTTTGCCGTCTCGCTTCCATGATTTGTTTCGGATCAGCAATTTTATTCACCCGAGGCTTGTTTACAACGGAGGTGCCATCTCGACGATTCTCGAGTTCTTTAAATGCATTTCGAGCACTTCCAACTTGACAAACATCGATTTCATCACGAGCATTTATCTGTAAAAATTTTAAAAAACTATGAAGAGCCAGGTTGAAAGCAGATGTGTTAAAGCAAGGTACTGATTTTCAGCCATGGATTCTTGTTCAGGAGCCAAAACCTTTAGTCCTTTTTTCGAAACAATACAGTCTTAAACCAATCAGTGTTGCAGAGTCATAGCACATGCGCATTAATAACAGTATTCGCATGGCTGTTGTCTGGGACCGCACAACTCTTGAACTTCCTGCCAGGGCTTTAAGTGATAATGCGCATGTGCAAAATGACCCCGAAACGGGGGCTAGTGTATGTCTGGAAGACAGGCATGATTCATCTCCCGAACAAACTCTTAAACTTTCCGCAAAGGCTTTGAATGATGATGCGCATGTGCAAAACGACCCTGTAAACATATTCTGTTCTAAAGCAAATAATCCTGCAGATCAGTGCTTAGCTGTAGATAAGTAGATAAGAAAAAAATAGGCTGATCATTCCTCGTTGAAAAGATGAAACGCGTTCCGGAAAAATAATCAATTGTATTTTGTCTTGTCTTTGCCTTTCCATAACAATATATTTAAGTAGAGTCGGATACGCAGAAATAAGCTTTAACCAAGGCCTGCCTTAAGGGCGGGGCTGATCTTACGGATCCAAACTAAGGGCAGCTCTGAACCAAATTAAGGTTCCCTTAATTATTTTATTTATAGTTGAAACAATTCGTTATCTCAGATTTACCTTCTCTCTCTACATAGAAATTAATTTTAAAAAAAACATTCAAAAAATTCTCGAAAGTGTGATCTCCATAACTCGAACATCCAAATGGTTCGAGTTAACAAATGTTCGAGATACCGGGAGTTGGAATGTTTTGAGGACAGTTCATGGGAAATGCAAAGCAGTTCGTCTTGAAGAGAGATCGGGGGCTGTCAATTGTATTGCTTCTCGTTTAGTACACTTTTATAAAGACAATATACCACAGTTTCACAATTACTTGGAGGGGGTTCAAGCCCCCCAAACCCCCCGCTTCAGACGGCCTTTGAGTAGGATTTACTCACATTACGAGTAGCCTATAAGACAAGTAGTGTCCGTGATCGCTGTGTTGTCTCGATATAAGAATCTTGATAAATGGTAATGATTATATTCATGACCAAGGACGTTGCCAACACTCATGCTTCACGTATTAGTTTTCCAAAATAAACAAACTTGTTTTGCAAAGTACTAATTTTTCGAGTCCATGCTCCGATCCCGCATGCTCTGATCCAACTTCGGTGTTTGTTAGACCGGAGCCCAGCTTATTTATGTAATGACTAAATAAATCTTCTTTATAAATAAAAGCAGCTTTTCAGAAGAGTGAGATTACTGTACGCGAATAGTAGGGACAGGGATGGTCGATCGGACAATGAAGGACGACACCTGGCTAGAGACTAGATAAAAAATTAGTATGGCAAGAATGCAGAATCCACGATCCCAATCGCGCCGTTATGTCACACCAACGAAGTGAACAGTACTTACGTCTTCAAGTGCCTTTTCAGCATCTAATAAACTCTGTAAAGAAATGTTTACCTTTTTACTTATAATACCTGCAATAGAATACTAGCAGACTGTTCACTCGCACACAGCACCACAAAAAACAGCAGATGTGTGCTCCATGGCACAGTCCTAGCCGTAACAGCCGGTCTGGGATTCTAATACGATGGAACTTACAACCCAATAACACATTGTCTCTTAAATCACACAGTTCCTAAAGGATTGAAGTTGGTGAAAACAAGATACTTAGGAACAACAATTTAATTCCCAAGCTAAAACTCTAAGTCGCTGTTGATATACGACGGAAGCGACAATAAAAAAGGCTTTCAAGAGGAAAGGTAACAGTAAGGTATTCATACTGCTGACAACAGGCCCTACTTCATTCTTAAAATGAGCAAGCCATAAGCTCATTTCACTTCCAAAATCACACAAAGGTGGAATTTACAAGGCAATACCGTAGTCATAAAAGTTAGTGTCTTCAAACCACGCACGACTCGTGAAAAGTTGTAAACAGCACAAAAATTTGATGATGTCAAACATAAGAATATCGCCTCAGTGACGTTGATGAACAATGCTTATTCAATATAAATATTGCTTGCTTTATCACACCAAACTACTAGACCTTTTTAAAATACGACCTTCGGTCAAAAAAGTACGTTAGGAGGAGAGGTGTTACAGAAATTTGAAGGGGTACTATGACAGAAAGGATTTTGGGGCGGCAAGGTAAGAAAGGTGAGGTTTGGGTACCTAGCACTTGACAAACCTTTTCGCTTTCTATCCATGGCTCGCCTTGCTGCCAACTGATTTTCATTTCACGGACAGGCTTAACTGGTGCTATAATCTCTTCCCGGTTCTCCTGAGGAAACATTTTAAAATATCTTTTTCTAATTTTGATTATGAAATGAGGGAAAACGCACATACATTAATCACATGCTTTTAATCTGGTGCTATCTAATTTAGTAACATTTTTCTGTACACTCTCAAATCCAAACCTTAATTCTGTTACATTGCAAGTATTATAAAACCCGTTAAGAGGATTATTTTGAATGAATGTATGTAATTGGGTGTTATTAAAATTTAGAGTGTCTTCGCCCCTTTTCAGCAATATTGCACTAATATGTTACTGCTTGATTACAATTAACTCTTTTATTTCTTTTAATTTGAACACTTTTTATTTGAACACAGGGTAAAGAAAGCTTCTTTAAAATTTAAAAATTGTAAAAAATTGTAATGGTTATCGGTAATAAATTGAAATCATCAAACTTACAACAGTAGCAAGACTTACTGAACCAATATCATATTCAGTTTTAATATCTTGAGTTGCAACTTAATTTGGTATTATTGAATATCGTTAATGCATTTTACATCACTTCGCACAAACATTGCTTTATTCAACTACATACTAGCCACCACAGGCAACACTGTACCAATTTTACAATTTATCACAATTCAATTCATCATACCATCATAACTTCGCCATCACATTCAGTATTATCATTATCGTTAGCTGACGTCATCATTTGTTCGGTGTAGGACAAGCATCATCTTTACTGTAATTCAATCTATTTAACCTCTTTTAGATGATATTCTCTACATGCTGCCATGTCAAAGCTTAGCCATCTGTGAATTATACGACTCTACATCATTACTAAAACAATTACCATTGATAACAGTACCAAAAGCAGCAATACTATCGATAGTAACCACTATCACTGTTATATTATTATCTTATTGTTGGTATGCTGCCAAAAATATTATTCAATATTAGTTAGCCGATGTAGAGCTTTTCTTGATTACAAAATTTTTTATTAACCGCCAACAAAGTTTTTAACCCTGCTACTTTTACTTCGAATTTACTTCCTTCTCTTCTCTCAAACTGAAGTTACTTCGTGCTTTTTTTAATTTCAATCGTTAGAATCGAATTGATCTTAAATTTATTCAGAGATATAACAAAAACTGGGACTACCAAACATATCTACGCCAAAGTTATCAATTCCCAAAGTTGCAAATCACTCGATTTACAATCACTCGAATCACCCAAATCACACAACAAAGATCACTCTATCTTCAATACATCGAATCACTTCACGCTATACCTTATTTCCATCGACATCATCCAGTAAATTCTCAACCTGAGACCAAACCTGTCTCATTTTCGTTACGCCGTCCTCAGAAAGAACGACCTGCTGTTTGTTTTCCTGCAGAAACAAGGTTTCAAAATGCATCTTGATTGATTGATAAATGTATCACACTTGACGATCAAAAATCATTTGCTCATTTTGGTCAGTAATTTGGTGTGGTTTATACTTTACACAGTAACGTATGCACCTCACGGTATCGCAAAGCACCGTAAAAGATGGTATGGCATCACTTAATATGATATGGTATAATGCAGTACGGTACGGTATGGTTTCTCGAATAAATAAATGCCATTAAGAGCTTAATAAAACAATTATTAGTGCATTGAACTGTATGACAAAGGTATACGTATAGGCATAGGTATAGGTATAGGTATCGGTATAGGTAAAGATATAGGTATAGATATGGTATGGTATGGTATGGTCTAGGTATGTTATGTTATGTTGTGTTATGTTACGGTATGGTATGGCATGGCATGGCATGGCATGGCATGGCATGGCATGGCATGGTAGGGTAAGGTAAGGTATGGTAAGGTATGGTATGGTATGGTATGGTTTGGCATGGCATGGCATGGTAGGGTAAGGTAAGGTATGGTAAGGTATGGTATGGTATGGTATGGTTTGGTATGGTGTGGTATGGTAGGGTAAGGTATGGTCTAGATATGGTATGGTATGGTAGGGTAAGGTATGGTCTAGATATGATATGGTATGGTATGGTATGGTATGGTATGGTATGGTATGGTATGGTATGGTATGGTATGGTATGGTATGGTATGGTATGGTATGGTTAGGTATGGATTGATATCGTACGATATGGTATGTTATGTTATGGTATGGTATTGCATGTTGCGGTATGAAATGGTAGTATATGGCACGGCATAATATGGCTGGGAGCTATGATCTGTGACACAATCGCATAGAATGACATGCTAGGTTGTGATATACGACAAAACAGACTTTGTCAGCCAGAATAGAAAAAATGTAGATTTTTGAAAAAAATAAACCTAAACATTTGGATCGAAGGAGGTCATAGGTTTGGTAGAATCAAATATATGCCATCCTCCTAATTGAATATTGTGTGGCAAATGTTATTCAAACTGAATAAAGCAAGTTAGCCAACATAGATTTAAATGCAAGCAGTAAAGTATTGATATTAATATTGAGTCTGATATTAAGTCTGCCATTGATAGTTTGGGGAACTTGAAAAGGAGGTGGAACTTGAAAAGAAGGTTGACGTGGATGTGCCAGTTTGAAATAGGAAAACATTCCCGAAAATTTATAAATTCAAATTTGAGATTAACATTCAATGCTCAATCAAGTAAATAAAAACATATTACCCTTCTTTAAAAGATGATACTTAAAGTCATCCTAAAAATTAACCCAAAATTTATAACTATTATGTTTTATTTTACCAAAATCGATACGCGAAAATATTTTTCTACTTGAAAAAGGTACTTCAAAAATGGCACACCTGTACCAGTGCATGTGGAAGTTACCCCTACCCCAGTATTAATTCTATTAATTACCCCAACCCCGGGTATGTAATTAATGAGTTTTGCAGAAGTCACTTAAAACGACAGGACCAAGAAGTTCAAGCTTGAAAGAAAATCCATGAAACGCTACCTCATTTTTTGAGACCCTTGGCTGTTGCCATTGGTATTTCAAGGCAAGAACGGTCTGGGGAGATACATCGATTTCCTCTTTGTTTCCCTGAAGAAATACGCAAATTTAGCAGGCAACTACTAGGCTTTATAGATGGCAGTGTTATGGTGAAAAAAAGAAATACACCACGTGATTGACATCACGACAAAGCAGGGCATGTAGAGGTCTCAGAACCAAAACAAGAGGGTTAAAGAAACAGCTTATAGATAGCACTGACAGCACTTCGGGTGCGAAAGGAAGTGGCTTGGATGTAGAGACGAAGAAATAGATCAGGACAGAAAAGATGAGGAAATAGCAAAACGAGTATTGAATAGATGTTTATATAGAAAAAGTATGCACTCAGAGGAAAACGGTAAGCATTCTTAACCGATGCGACCGTTGGTAAATCTGTCAAGCAATCATCTGAAATGCAATTCTATACTGCCCGGCCTAGCTTGTCTCAAAATAACTGCAATTTGACAAAATGATATGTTAATTTACACAAATGTCTAAGCTATGGCACTTCTACATCCACCGAGTTACCTCGTATTCCCAAACACGGGGTCTCTGCCATTCAGACTTCATTTCAGAAACGCTCTGTGAAGGCACTGTGATTTCATCTTTCTCCACCTAAATCAGTATCAAAATTTGCCATAAGGATTCTCGGTTTTTAAATCATTTCTTTTTAGATGTGAGAAATAAGTCATTGACACATAGCATAAACACTTCTATGTTGTAGACTTTTTGAAGATGCTTTATGTCTTAAATATCTGTCGATACAACATAGTCGACCTCAGCGGAGCAGCGAGTGAACCTAGCTATCTCTAGAAACATCTTCTCCTCACAAGATCCGATTTGCATACCTGTATTTTGAAACACTAATCTTCAAACAACTTTTTGCTTACTGTCTCAACAGCAAATACCACGCTGAAAACAGGAAACCCAGAGACAGCGGACTGTTCAGAGGAAGAGGGGGAGGGGACGAGGGGTGGCTGAAAAAGCAATGTTCCGACTAGCGTATACCTATGCAAACATTGAAGGGTGTACCCCTTGGACCCCTTGGGATATTTGACCCCTTGTTTCCGATGTCTCTGAGGTCCGAGTCATGTGACCATGGTATACCTCATAATACCAATGCGTCGGCTGCATCCACCGCTCTTTCATTGCAAAAACATACCTCACTGGTACACAGATTTCTTCGATGCTATCCTAAGAAAGCATTGACATATTGTATCAGGCGTACTCAATTTTACGGTTACCCCTGGCAGTAAATTACAAAGCCATACTCGAATGAAAAAGGCACTAAATCAGTGGCGGATTTAAAGGGGGGCAACTAGGGGCTCCTCCCTCACCAAGTTAAAGCAAGTCTGGCGCCCCTATGTTGGAAATTGTGCGCCTTTTTTGAAGAATAAGAATCAGGTGAAAAGTTTCTGAGGCATATCGGTTAATTTACTTAAAGGATTACCTCAAAGTATACAACAAATATTGTGATAAATCCCTTACAAAGTGAATAGAGAGCCTTCTGTCAGTAGTTAGGGTCAGAAATTATTGTGTACAGCGAGCACTCGTCACCAATTTTTGAAAATTTTTCAGCGCCCCCACTACCAACTGCCCCTCCTGCAAATTTGCTCTGGATCCGCCTTTGCACTATACTAGATTCAAGTGGGAAATTTAGACTGGCGGGCGAATTTCTTTTTGTATCTAACGCTAACACTGCATAAAAAACGATGACCGCATTGAGTTCCACTAGCTACAGCAGAACAACAGTATAAACAAGAAAGCTGCAACGAAGAGTAATAGCGAAGATTCACCTTGTTCCTGTCTTCCCAATTTCCCTTTTTCTGCCACTGATTTTTCATTTCATTAACGCGCTGAGGTGCCGGAACAACCTCCTCCTTTTTGCCATCATCTTCAACATCATCTTCACTGTCGCTACTCGATCTCACCTTGCGCCCACTTGCTGCTGCAAAGAAACGGTCCTTGATGCTACTTATTGGTTTTCTATACAGCACTTCTCTCTCAGTCTCCTGTTTGCGCCCTCCGTCATCGGAATCCTCGTTTTCCATCATACCCCTTGCCTGCATTGTGTACTTTATTTGCTCCAGCTCCTCGTCTACTTTGTACCTGTCCAGTGGCTTCGTCTCAACTGCTTGCTGAGAGTAAGCAGCCTTTAAGATCGACACTGATGTCTTTGGCTTCTCAATATCACGCTCCCCTTCGGAAAGGTTATCAAATGACTGGTCTCTTTCATAATTGTCCAAAAGTTTTCCAGTCGCGGATTTCACGCGAGTTCCCGCAGGTTCAGACTTTGCACGCGGTGGCTCGATATTCTTTTTACGGTATATGTTACCTCCCTCTTCATGTTCACTTTCGCTGCTGCCTTTCGCCACATAATACTGGCCCGAATGCTTTCTTGGTATGAAATTATCTTCCAGGCCATCGTCTGAACTAGCCAAAGCATCATCGCTACTTGTGACAAACGATGGGTCTTCTGTGTTAAGTTCTTGTTCTAGCGTGCGTTGACGTGACGACATTTTCCCGCTTCGACCAGCATGTATCAATCCTCGTTCTTGGTCGTACGTGTCATAGCTTCTTGAACCCGTTTGCCTATAAAGAATCAAAGAATTTACTCGTTATTGAATTTTTTATATGCTACCAACCTTCAAATAACGTTAGCAGGCCACATGAAAAAGGTAATCGCGAAAAAGCTACCATCGAAACGAAAAATCCTTAGAAAATGAAATATCCTTCGTGTATTTAGGCCTGTACCAGACATTTAGAGAAATTTAAACGTAAATGAAGCACTACTTTTCGTCAAATTTGATTTCATAATTGCAAACAACAAAATATTCGCGCAACCTTTAATCGGTACGACGTATATTTCGACACATCATAAATTCGCGAAAAAGAAAATAAACGAAACATTTTCACCTTTACATTCAGCATTTAATTAAATCTTTCATAGAAAGTATAGATTGATTTCGTCATTCACACATATAACACTGAAAAGTCCTTTTAGTTAAAGTTCAAAATTGAAATTTCCTGAAAACCTTTACAAATCCGTTCTTTTGAACGCATTTAGGAAAAACTTTAAGTTTAAAAAGTTTAAGATTAACAAATAGTTTGAAGCATAATAGATATAAATAAAAAATAAAAAATGTCATTCGACAATGACACTGAATATAAACTAATACCAAATGAGTTCATAATAATTAATAATCTTCCAAATTTGTCACATTATAGCACCATATGGCGACAAACCTATCCAGCTTAAAGGTTCCTGCTCCAGGAGATCTCTTCAATGGGGTGTTGCAAAGTCAACGAAGATACTTCGATCAACCATGAAAACTTATTTCAAGAGAAGATATACGACAAACTGCGTTCATTGTAACAAGACTAGAATAATTTTCTAAATCTATAAAGATCACATTAAAAATAACTAAAACTAGAAATAAGAAAAAAAGTCTTAAGGAAACACCAGACATTTCTAGAAAACCAGATAAACTTTCCAGAAACGTTCATCTTTCCTGAAATGATTTCAAACCAAATTTCCAATCATAAAGAAAACGGAGAACCTCCTAATAAATTAATGATAACTTATAATGACTTAGAGGCTTTCTTCATCTTTTCCATGATGACTTAAAATGAGCGAACTTGACTCATTAACGTCTAGGAAGAAAATGTACTGTTACCTTCGTCGATATAAATTCAAAACATATCGTCTCTGCTGCTGAAAACTGTTCCCTTGTGTGATTTAATCAACATATACTAAAACATATCCTTTAGTCTATCAACTGCACTGATGAGTGAGACAGTCCAAAAATGGCCAGGGTGAGAGAGAATAATGATTTTAAATAACGACAGTCTAGACTATGAAGCATGACTGGAACAGCTTAGCTTGCTCAATCTCTTTATAGCATGATCGAACGAACAAAATGAGATTTACTTTGAAATGATATATTAGGTTGAGGATGACCTGAAATCTTTACTTTGGTGTACGCAAAATGACATTGGATGATTAAGAAAGAAAGCTTAAGGCAATTAGGAAGCACTAAATAGGAAAATTTTTCATCATAAAAATAAGCTTAGTTTATATGGAGACAATGCATGAATATTAATGGACCTGCATCAAATTGTGAGTAAGGAATATCTTTTTGGAAGAATGCTGTTTCTTGTTAGACTATAATTATGGGTGGTTTTATGTGATTTCATTTCCTTTAAAAATTGTTTTTACTATACAAGCACTTATCAGTAGTCCACCAAAGATGTAAGCAGTGGCATGCCTATAGTGGGTAGCGATTAAGAGGGTATAACCCCAAAATATTTCCGACTCCCTAAGAAATTGGTATCAATGCATGCCCATTGGAACCGGGGGGAGAGAGGGGGGTAGGGGGGCTGGAGCCCCTCAATAATTGTCAGACTTCAGTATATTTCCTTCATAACATTGTGCTAAATGAGAAGGAATACAATGGGCAGCCCCCCCCCTCCAATATGAGTTTCGTTCCGACGGCACTGCAATGGAAGCTGAATTTTAGAAAAGCTCTTGCAGAATTATCAAGGTTTGCCTGTCTGGAATAATAACCCTCTATAAAAGAATTAAAAAGGGTATCAAACCATTGGTCATGCCAGACAGCTAATATCAAACCCCAACAATAATTGAAACCAATACCTCTATAAGTGGCATAGCCAGGGTTGAAAGATTGGGGGGGGGGCAAAGTGGAGCCCAACAGCAGGGGTTCTAGGGATTTACGTCTGGTAAATTTTTGCTGACCACACCCTTAAAAATTCCATTCTAAAAATACTATTCTATTCTCTAATTCTATAAAAAAAATTCATTTGTAAATGTGTTTGGAAAAAGCTATGGCTTTTTTACGTAGCAATTGTTGGCTAATCAAACAATAATAGTCACATGTAGCTTTTTGTATCTGACCCCATTCTACTTTGCATTTTTTTCACATTTTCTCAGTGTGAGGATGGCTCAATTGTTAGAGGCACTGACTACAGACCAAAGGGTCTGTGGTTTGAGTACCTAGCATGACAAAACTTTCACCCAGAGTGAGGGGAGTCCCTAGCTCGCTTTGTAATTCCAGGCATAGGAATCACGAGGTGTGGTCAAATCGAGAGGAAAGACCAGGACACTGCTTGATAAGCATAAGCTTCCTAAAAACCAGCTCAGTGTCCTACAAACTACCTTTGAATGCTAGGTAGAAACAAATAAAAAAATACGTTTCCTCTAATTTTCATATTCTGAACTGTAAGGCAAGAAAGCTCTATGTGTAAAAACTGATTTTCTAAAGTTTTAAGCAAATATCTAAAAAACAGTACACAAAAGTTTCAAACTAAGTCCTTTCTCCTTGGAGCAAAATCTGCAAAATCCCCCCTGAGCTACTAACTTTTTTTGCAGATTTGCACTTTTTTCAGACACCACCTTTCTGAGCATTGGGGTCCCCCCTTGCCTCCCCCTTGCTAGACCTCTGCCCACCACCCTATTTTGCATGTTGTCAGTACCTCTTCCATCTTAATTGGCATGCCTCTAACTGGATAAATGAAGCAAAAAGTAATAAATACTCAATGCCTACAAAATAGGAACTGATTGCATGATTAGCTTAGAATGCTGCTTCAAAAGTTGGCAATTACCAACTTATTATTGTTCAAAAACTACAGGTGTTCATTTGTTGACAAAGCTCTGGACAGTAGCAGCACAGCAGACAAACAATTCAAATAATGATTCTCTTAAAACTGATTCTTTACATTAGCTTTATGAAATATATACATGCAATCACCTCTTCCTCTCTGGACTGCCACTACTGCTGCTCCCTCTCCTTCGAAAATGTTTATCCTCTTCACTATCACTTGAGGTGAGGCCAACAGTTTTTGCTGGACTTCGTTCACTTGAGTTGGTATCCTCATAAACTCCATTTTTTGGTGCATGGGTTGCAGTTGGTGAGGTGTCATATGATCCAGACCTTGTTCGAGACTTTGCACTTATTGTTATTGATGCAACTTTTGACATTTTGCTGTGGATAACGTATCATATATATAAATAAATTTTGCCATTTACCATCCTCTAAAATAATTTTGCTTGAAAGTCCATGATTAATAAATAAGAAAAATATTCAGCATATAAATAATTCCAAGAAAAGTTTAAAAGAGCAATCTAGATATTGGGTAAAGTATATATATACATATTTATTCAATATTCATTTTAAAAAAATGTTAACAGGAGTACTATATGCATTAATGTCTTAACAATAAAAACAGGGATCTAAATTCAATAATTTTGTGGCCATCAAACAACAATTATAAAGCAGTTCAATCTGCTAAAACTCTTGTTATATAATTAGTAGTGGTCACATAAGGCATCTGGAGTTGATATCAAGCTTCTTAAAAACTATTTTACGATAATCAGGGAAAAAAGAAGTCGTATTAGAAAAAAGTTAATTAGAATCGTGAAATAATAATGAATCATAAAAATTGGATTATTTAGATGAATACAGAGAAGCAACTTATAGTTATTTCATGTGAAATTTATGTGGCTAGATAAAATTTGAGAGATGCAAGATCTTTGATAATCTGGATTTGGAGCCCTTTTAATAGAAATATATCTTCACCTGGACATTTTGTTATCCAAGATTGATACATAAGTAGTTGTACCTTCATGAAGAGAAACATCATACTCATTCATATCAAAATCCCTTCTAATTGATAGACTATTGATCATGATGAAAATAGTATACAAATCTTCTAAGTGTCAATTCTGGCTATGAGTAAGTCAAATTGTGAGTAGTTGTACCTTCATAATAAGCATTGCAAAGGGGGTCATAACAGCCCTGGTACCCAATCTTTTGGTTTTGCGCTTGCAAAATTAGCACCATTAATGTGAGTACAAGCCTTCTAACCTTCCTCAAGCCTGGCCCCTGACCCCCTGACATATTCATGATGAGCCCACAAAATAAATGTCTATTGTAAATTGCACCTCTCTGTATGCAATGGTCCATGTGTTTATCAAGGATGATTTTTCTTACGTTTTAGTTTTCATTTACTGTCCTAAATGCTGTTCAATTTTATTTCCTATTGAAAATATTTACAGTTGTCTGGCCTACCATTGACTTTGTTGAAAAGCTGGTCCAATTTGTTCAATGAATGAATTTTCATTCTGTTTCGCTTGATGCCCTTTCTTTGACATGGATGATGGTGGTGGTTGAATTAAGATGGTGATAATCATTATGACTTTGATGGTGAATGATAGGATAATTAATGATAGTAATAAGAATTCAATGCTTTCTTTTGGAGAAACATACCATAGCATTCATTACTCAAGTATGCTTTACCCTAAATCCTTTGTTTACATAACAAACAACCAAACAATAGATTCTTCCCAAGCATCCTCTCCAGGACATCAAGTGACGATTTACGATTACGACAACCACGAACATCATTATGGTATCCACAAGCACAAAGATTGCCCTTCAAGCTAAATATATACTTCAAATATTAGAAAATTATTTGTTTTAGTATGCACGGGTGAATTTAACGTGCTAGGGGGATCTTAAAACTGTCAAAGGGTTTTTTCTGCATACGAATGATATTAGTCCATTATGGTATAGTTCCTCTAGTTGATAGAAAAGACCTTGTGCAAACGACGAGAAAATTATGTGAAAGTAACAAACCACAAAAGTTGATGTATCTCAACTCAAATGCGTGATCAAATTTTCACACAAGGACGAGAATACGTCGTTTACAATACGGTTAGTCTGCAGATCGTGCAAATCACAAACGTTTGTTTACCTGGAAATTTGAAACTTTAACTTGAATTCTTGGAGTAGCAAAATTTCTTCGTCAAAGACTTTAACGACACCATGAAAACCAATCCGACTAGTAAGGAAAGACGGCCAGGTGAATACTTTGCAATGTCAATATTCAAATGTAAACAGACTTCACAAAGGTTTCTCCTTGAGAAAGTGACTCCAAACCGGGCACCGCCTTTGCAACTTTTTAAGAGCCGTGAAATGACTGCCGCCTGCCAAATGTGCAACAAACCTTGGCTACGAAAAAACAACAAATACTGGCTATACAGAACCAAAATGTTATTGAGAATTGATAAAGTCCACCACCATCCTGAGCACGGAAAACTGACACACCAGACGAGGGCTCTAACTATCGCATTCCATTGATGGGCGACGACAAAGGATTCGCTATGGGTAATTAATGAAAACATTCTTGATTGGAGAAGAGCTGGGCGAGCCGATTATAAGATAATCGCGAGACCAGCTTGATTTATTAGTGCAATTTATGGGATCAAAATGGAAGTAAATAGGTATTTAATCGAACCCCGGGCATGAAATTGTATGCAATTGGTATTCAAGGCCAATTTTCAAAAGACGGTTGTAAAACAAACGAAATTGCTGAGGATTTTTCTCTAGCTGGGGATTTTTCATTCAACCGTGGCACAATAAAATGTCAACAGATTATTTAAGGCCAGTTTGGACAACTGCGCTTGGAAGGATGATGTGTTTAACTGGGGGATTTAATAAAACAACGACCAATAAACCACGACTGTACAAATGTCTGTACGATGAGGATTTTGGTAGTTTGTGACAAAAAAACATTACATAATGTCTTACGATCATTAGTGTTTAAAAACCAGAACATCTGAACAAATTGCGAAGAGAGTTGGCAATGACAAAAATAACGTTTGCTCTCGATGACGGAAATCAGTGGTGGAAATGACCCCCCCCCCCCCCAAGAATGGAAATTGGTGTTGTAGTCCGTAAAATTGGGATTTTAGTCGGTAAAATTGGGACTTTGACGGGCAGATGATCTTTTAAAATTTTCAGACGAAAAATTGTCCTTCATATAGTTTTTAAAAACATTCAAAGATATTAAAAAGTTCTGCAGTCCAGATTTTTCCGTTGACCCAGAAGAGGATTTTCAGGAACATCACAGAAGAAGATTAATCCCAAGAAATTTGACAAAAACAGAGGCAATTTTAGTCTGGGAGATGCATTTTTAGCCATTCTAGAAGACTTAATTTCATAAAATTCCTTTCGCGTTTCACCCAACCATGGTGGTTCCTCCTATGTCACTAAACTTGAGTCTTAGCCCCCAGGCTCAATTTTGTGGCCCCCGTCCCCCGTCATTTAAATATTAACAATGCTAAATATTCTGATTGCTGCCAGAATGTACTCGGTAGATAAAAATTTGCCCCCCCCCCCCCAAAAAAATTCCTGAAACCGGGCATGGAAACAGTAAATTGCAGTTCAGGCCGGCTCTTCTTCTATTTTCGAAAATTTGCAGCTTGATTGTAATCAATTTGTTTTTAAATTAATAGGGTGTAGGCAGTGGAATTGCTAGCTATTGCGCTTTAAGAAGATTTTCAGGCCACGTTTGCCAACGAAGTGAGTGAGGCACCTTTTACTTCTCGGCAAGTTTGAAAAATTACCGAACAAACACCCTTAGATGCCAAAAAATTTCTTTTTTGAGATGAAAAATGTTCAAAATTACCTTTACAGTAGCTCAGCAACAACTTTTGACAATTTTTGAGGCTCATGTTCACATAAAATTGTTCTTGCAAAAAGTGTAAAAGGAAAACGGCTGATCTAACAAGAAACTCGGAAAATTCACTGTGACTTAAGAGTGGCCTGAGTCAATTTCACGCTGTATACAATCATAATTCTATTAGTAAGGACGTGGCCAACCTTGATTATTCTTTTGTAAATCTAATGGGGGCTCTCGCTCCTTATTTCTGCACGCTGTTTCATTAATTAAAAAGTTTGACTAAAAATTCGAAATTGGAAACCCCCCTTGACCTAATTTCAGTCTTGACCCCAGAGTAGGCAAACTGGTATATGCGCTTGTTTATAATCCGTTATAACCAAGGTCATTTCAAGACGTTTCTTATTCCACGGTTTTTATTAATGGAGCGACGCCCCTGCATCTAGTGCAAGGCAATCAGAAAAGGCTTGGATCATATCTGGATATAAACACAGATTAACACAGTTCAATGGATACCCTGGATACCAAAGTCACATAATTTGAGCGCAGAAATAGAAGATAGGAGCAGAAGAGTGTCTTTCTGAGAAGGTCCGCTTCTCCGCTCGGTTTTCTGTTTCTGCGCTCGAAATTTTGTAGATCAGTTAGCAAGGGATTTAATGGAAATCCTAGCCAACCATCTTCATTTAAACTTAATCCCATTAGAAATATGCAGCCTTTCATGCTTTTTATCAAGTATTTTACAGTAGACATCGAAGCACGCGGGATAACAGTACGCGATTGAAAATGTAGGCCATTGACCATCTGCCTCACACGGCAACCAACACGCAAAATGATGGTGATTGATGACGATGATTAATTAAGATGATTAATTAAGATGATTAATGACGATGAATATGGCGATTAGCGGACCACTATAATGATTATGTTGATGATGATTATTTTGGGATACGGGGCCAACTCACCATCTTTACAGTGCGCATATGTGGAGCAACATTATTCCCTTTGAAGTTACACTGACACAATCTATGTAAAAACTACGTAGCTCAAATCAATGGCTAGTTTTTTTATAATCAGGCCTCCATTTCAAAGTCTTCCCACTTCATCGTGCGAAAATTTTTTGTATGGAGACCAAAATGAACCTGGTACTCATTGCACAACCAAAATATTTTTTAAAGCTCTTATATGTTTGTTGTTGATTTCGGACAGAATATTATTTGTAGCAGATACATTTTCGAAAAAAATCGTAACATTCTTGAATTTTCAGCAGCATTCCATGGGCATTTACTTTATATATTCTCAGCGTATAGTCGCAGTCGCATTCCACTTTCCCCTTCTAAACAATCTTGAACAGCAAGCTTTTCAGGCCTTAAAATTTATCCAATGTAGTTCTAACGGATAGTTCAAGAAAAAGGCTTAATTGACAAACTTTCAATTTTCTAAAATCGTTCATTGACTAAAGGGTGTTGCAAGAAATTTTGACAGGGATTGTTGATGGCAAAGAAACCTGGCCTAGATTTCAATAAGCGCAATACAAAGGTGCTTTGCTCGAATTGAACACAGCAAACCACATCATCCGTCTCAACACAGCAATATACTTACATAGGATGTTTTGCATAGGGTCCATCATCGTGTCTTGCATTAAACTGTGGTTATACTACAATGATGGATTTAAAACCCTTGCAGATGTTAAGAACCACAAGAGAAGCCATCACATCTCTCTTTCCATACATAGTTCTAGCAATGATTTTAAGACAAACTACATTTTTATTTCAGTTCAAATCCCAGCCTTCAAAGACACATTCAGATCAAATAAATTACCATTATCTGATCACAGTATTTTCACGTCAGAAGAATTTGGTGCATTTAGTGCTTAAAAAAGGAAAAGGTGCTACGGTTGATAATTTGACATTGGGTCAATGCCTTGTCCTGTTGAGGTCCATAGTAAGGCTTATCATAATCATGCTTTGACTGCTTTGACAATATGACTTGCACTGATTCCAAACATTTCCATAAGCTCAGCACTGGGTCCGCTTCTTGGCAGTGATCTCACACAAAGCTGCTTGACTGTCACGTCTTTCTCTTCAGACAAAGCAGCTGCCACAGCCTCGCCAAGCCCACCTAAGTAGACACATAAGTAACCATCAAATACGGTTCATCCAGACTTCTACCTAATACACAATGGCAGACAACTATCTCAACTAACAAGAGTAATACTATATTATTATCAATACTAATTCCGGAAGACTTCAGCATTATATCGCTAGCAATGCATGAAGCTAATATAAAACAAGAAAGGCTTAGCCTGTTATCCCCTACATGTAACTTTGAAGACCAAATTTCAGTTCAGCTATTTGACCTTCCAGATCAAATAAACGTCATCAAATCTCCATTTTTACTGAAAAACCCAGCGAAATTTGTTCACGAAAGTTCCTTCGCAAAAATTTATTTCTGCTCTTTTTCTCCTCGCTGCAGAATTGCATAGGCAAATATTTCGATAACAAACAAAAAGTCTAGGCAGAATTAAAAGAACCTCAAATTGGCAGACTTTTACCGGTTAATTTAACTTCCCTCTGCATCTAACATCGAATGCCAAGTACGAGAACAAGTTAACCAGCGAGAAAACAATGAATGGAAAGTGATTGCGTGTTTTTTATAAGGAGGGGCTAGTGGCGGGAAGAGCAATAAGATGCTTGGCATTCTTTTCATAATATTTTCAAGGTCAGTTTATAATTTAAATTAAGATGAGTCAGTTTTGAAATCTTACAAAATCAGCTGAATGATCGCGAATAATCGTAATCATCAATCATAGTAACCAGCCTTTTGAATATCTCCAAAAAATTATATATTTTGACTATATTTTGACTTAAGATTATTTTGACTATAACAGCTTAAACTATTCAATAGTGCTTTTAATTGCATTTTTTAGCAGTTCTTCTCAAACATAAGAGCATGCGTTCCAGCCCTTTCCCGATATTTTGTGGTGAAACAATCAAGTATGAGTGTTTAGAATATCTTAAAGCATACACGGAAAGAAAAAGGTAAATATAACCTGAAAATTAGGCTAGGGAGAACAAAGTGTGATTGAGCTTTCCACTGGCCATTGAATTTAAGGACGTTCTGTTGTAAGGACAAAAAAACAAAAACGAAAGATTACCTGAAGGATAATGGTCCTCCACAGTAACAACCTTTCCTCCGCAAGCCTTTGCGTTGGCAACAAGGGCAGCTTGGTCAATGGGCTTTAAGCAGAAAATATCAATAACCCGAATATGGATTCCTTCAGCTTGTAACACATCGGCTGCCTTTAGTGCTTCATGTAAGGTAACACCGGCTCCAACAACCAATGCTACATCTTTGTCACTTTGGCGAACAACCTTCAGTAAAAATCGCAAAGCAAAAATTTAAGCAAGAATAGAGATAAGACAAAGTTAGCTTTTCCATTACCAATTTAATGTGTATGTCAACGAAAGGCATCAACTCTAAACAACAAAAACAATCCATTGATAAAAAACCAGAAACCAAATGGAGTGTCAACTTAGACCCCGTTTACACTGTCCCGGGACAATTTTGTACCGTTACGGTTCGCAAGTGTTTACACTGTCCCGGTTCCAAATTGTTTCGTTTAGCCGTTCCGTTTACACTGTACCGGTACAGTGTAATGGTTTCAAAATTTACTGGCAGAACATGTATTTAGTCAATCAAGGCTTTTATTTTGCCGCCGAAGTCAACAATCGAATTTTTACTGAGAGTTGAAATGGAGTGGAAGGCCGATAAAAACTTTACTTGGACAAATGACAAGGTGGCTTTAATTTTCAGTGTTATTTTAGACTACAAAACTGCAAAGTCTAATCAAGGCTTGGACTAGGAAACACTACAAGCCTTTTCTGTGGTCGTCTTTTCTTCAGAATTTCCTTTTCTTCAGAATTTGACAACGTAGTTACGCCACAATCGAAGCCTCGATTACCTGAAACAGCCATACAAAAGACCTCTTTGTGAATCCGTGACAAAATCGTCTCGGATAGGTGTTTACACTGTCCCGTTCAAAAACGGAACCATGACGGTACAAAATTCGTTCGCTTTCAAAGCAGGGTCCAAACTGTTCCGGATAGCAGAGCAAAATCGTCACGGTTCCACAGTGCTAGTGTAAACGGAAGGGCGAACCGCGACAGTTTTGTCACGGTTCCAAACTTGCACGGGACAGTGTAAACGAGGTCTTAGGCAACAAAGACACTTTTACCGTCCGGTGACCTGATAAAACTCCCTGCGATAATTCCTGCGATTATTCATGCGATAATAAAGCAGCAAGCTTTTACAAATATATCTTATTCTGGCTCCGTGTAAAAATGGCCAGGTTTTGATCGGCACTCTTACGTGACCATATCATCTAACAAATTTTTGTTGTGTGACCATGGAAATTTCCAGCTTATTTTCACCAAACCTAAGCATAAATCATTAAAAAATCAAGACAAATCTTTAAAGCTAAAAATTCAGGATAACGAGCTGGAAATTGTTCAAAAAACGAAACATCTTGGCATACAGATCGATAACACATTGGATTGGAAGGAAAACATTAAAACCATTTCTTCTAAGGTATCCAGGGGAATTGGCTTATTGAAACATGGAAAACCCTTTCTGCCAAAAGAAACTGAAGATTATGTACACAAGTATTGTGGAGCCACACTTTCGCTATTGTTGTTCGGCGTGGGGCTGTTGTGGTCTAATCGAAATCAAACGCTTACAAAAACTACAAAACCGGGCTGCTCGTTTTATATCTGGCAGCAGTTTTGATACACCGAGCCAACCACTCATAAAGAAGCTTGGTTGGAAGACCATAGACGAGCTGATCGCTAATGAGTCAAACATCGTGGTCTTTAAATCGATTCATGGACTGGCTCCACAATACGTGTCATCTTTTTACAGAAAAATCCAAATTACCTTCTCGAAATATTAGGAATACATGAACTGACCTAAGGCTACCAAAGAAAAACTCAAAAAATGGACAGAAATGTTTCTCATTTAGAGGTGCTAGGTCTTGGAATGGCCTCTCAGCTGAGTGTAAACAAGCATCTTCTCTGAGCAACTTTAGAAAATATCTTGCGAAATTGTAAATAACATTTGGACTTTTATTGTGGATGTTTATTTTGAAACAATTAAATTCAGACTAAAATAGGGTTTATTATATATTGTATATATTGAATTGTAATTAGGTTAATATATAATCTAACACTACAAGAGTTTCTGTAAGTTTTTAAGGAAAGGGCCCCTTGAAAATCACCATTGCTGAAGGGCTACCTTCCTGAAACATATGAAATGACATGAAATAAAATGAGTGTGATATTTCATTTGACTCCAGGATTGAGTAGAAGTTCCATCGCCCGCCATAGCTGCGTTTGAGACAATAACGCAGTTTCAGCCACGATAATTCCAATAATTTGGGGTTATGTGATCGGACAGGTAAAGCCGTTATTCGAACTAGCCTACACATAGTTGTAAAACAGGTAGCCATCAATGCTCTTCCTTTTATAAACAATTATCTCTTCTTGCGGACAGTTTAATATGTAAACAAAATGTTCTGCACTTTGTCACTAAAAATCAAGTTTCAATAAAATCGATTGGACCAAACCTTGCACTTTCCGACTTCGAATTTCTCTTCTGCGGTGTAGAGGGTGGCAGTTGCTGGCCTGCTTGATCTGATATAGACCATATTTGGATGGTTGGCCGCTAGTTCAACGGCTCTTTCGCAAGAAACTCCTTCACTTGGGTAGAAAACAACGCATTCTGGGATGCTTCGGAACATGCTTAGATCTTCCAGTGCCATTTGAGAAGGTCCGTCTTCACCTGTTGATTGAAAGGTATTTCAGTTTAAGGGGAGTGTCTCTTAAAATTGAATATATCGAATAAAAATTAATGCAAAGATTAATATTTGTCGGTCTGTACTCTATCTTGATACCCTAAAGGCAGAGCTGTACATGATTTGTGCGTACAACAGGGAGATTCCAAGTCAGGCAATATATAAGTAGAAGAAATAATAGTTTGAATTTTAAAATTTAACCTAACAATCCCCTCTTCAACATTTAAATTGAAAAAGTCTGCACGGGGCTTGGCAAATTTCCCTGTCAATGTCAAGATACTTCTTTACTTCATTTTGCTAGAATAGGTGAAGGATTCTTTCAAACATATAGTTCTTTTGTATTTCACCACAGATGGCACTCTCAAATGAGTCGCCTAAGACCCTTTGATAAGAGGAAAGAAAACGAAGAACGTCGTGCTTTCATGGCAGATCAAAATTCTACAATAAATGGAAATGGCAAAGCCCAGAGCAATTGAATAACATACGCTTGGCTAAGGGAAAAAGACACACTGTGGAAGTTTGGTATATAAAATCTAGAAACATACCAATGGACACTCCGCAATGTGATCCACAAAACTTCGCCTGCGTCATAGAGATCGCGCCCATCCTAATTTGATCAAAGCCTCGTGATAGAAAACAGGCGAATCCGCTGACAAAGGGGACTGTTCTTCCCCTTGTACCACATCCAATCCCGACGCCAATCAGATTCTGCTCAGCAATATAACATTCGATGAATCTGTCGGGATGAGCCTTTTGAAAAGTGATAGCAAATGTCGAGTTCTTCGTATCTCCGTCCAAGGCAATCACCCGCTTGGAACTGTTACCTAGCTTAGCCAAAGCATTGCCATAGGCGTTCCTGGTAGCAACCTATCAAAATGAATAAGACGTGAAAATGAAGAAGAAAAAACTATAGAAAGAAATAGAAAAGAAAAGGCATTTTGATGCACATTCAGTCAGGATAAAATCAAGTTTCAACATAATTCTAGACTAACATTAGAAAACGTTAAAGGTTAATCCCAATCTACTGGAGGCATATTTTCGAAATCACTATGAAACAAATGGGACGTTACATTGAATGAAAAACATGTGATTGAAATCCCCGCAAAATCTTCGATTTGAAGTTCGCAATTACATCAGGTCCTCTGTGGAAGGGGTAATTGGGTGAAAGGGCATGGGTGTTGGTTGTTGCTGGGAAATTTGTAATGTTAATCATTACATCGTTCCTTTCCTAGCTTAAACCTTTGATCATTATTTGACGTTTTATACTCTGAAGAATGCCAGACAAAAAGCTTAAGAATGTTTCAAAACTTCTGTATTTTCAAAGCCATTCCTTACCTTTTCTCCAAGTTTGTAACTTGGGGGTTCAGAGAGGAGGATCGTTTCAGCGCTGTAATGCTTAGCATCTTCAACCACGGCAGGGCGATCGACTTTGTATGGCCCCTGGGAGTCAGCCATTACAGACTCAATTGCTTTGATAGAGGCTTCTGCTTTGTCTCCCAAGGCTTTTCCGTGCCAGTTCATTTCATCTTCAATACCTTGCAAACAAATTGGTAAATAGAATAGCAGCTACGAATACAGTAAACCATAAAATGAGCACTTGAGAAACTTTATGAACCCCTGCTTCAACAATGTTCCCAGCACATGTAGTGGCAATGTGATCAATGATTGTTGCTATTTCAAGGGTGACCCGTGTTAGCTCCTCCACAGGCTGCTTGAAATTAAACAGTTCATATAAACTTCCACGTGTTTAGCATTGTTGTCTTTAAACTGATGGTTAGTGCCACCTTAAGCGTAATTACAATTAGTGCCACCCAATGAGGTGTATAGAATACGCTAGAGGGTCAACTCGAGGCAGCCCTGACCACAGGAAGTGAAGCCAGGACAAAACTGATTTGCACGGCAAGAGCGGAGAAGTGCCGTACAAACTCTTGTATGAAGCGTGCAAAATTAAGCAAATAATCCAGGCGAAAATTCAGTTTTAAGTGATTAAACTGGAAAATCTGAAACACCTACGAACCTAAATTGTTGGATTTTAAGGAAAATTGGAAGGTAAAGGATAATTCTGGACATTAACAGTGAAGGTACCGACCGTTGTTTTGGAGGATCTATAGCGTTTTTTTCGCAGTCCCTAAACATGCTAAACAAAACGAGTTTGTTGATCTGAAGGGGAATACCTGGTTTGTTTTTATTTATGACTTCTCTCTTTAATTTTTTTGGCATACCTTCACAAACAAACAGCCGTATATTTAAAGCCGATATTTTGGACGAGGTGTATCAAGTGATCACCTTGCAAGGCATCGGTCATGAAACAAGGAGGAATATAGCAAGTACCAAAGAAATAAAATTTAAGAAAAAATGTATAAATTTTACAGAAAAGCGACAATATTGAAGTACCTAATGGTAAGGATAGGCCTAATCGTCAACAAACCGGTGAAATAAAAGTGATCCATCCTCACTTATATCCGTAGAAATACTGGCTGGAGTCGTTTATTTCCAACCCTATTATAAGACTGTTTTTTCTTATCAGTCAATTCTTAGACCAAAAAGAAACGCACAAAATAACAATCCTAATAGCGAGATGCAATAGAACGCCATACACTGTGAGTCACTTCTTGCCGTGCAATGCGGAAATTGATAGGCCTCACTGCCTCCCTACAGAGTTATCCCTCTAGCGTATTCTATACACCTCATTGGTGCCACCAATGTGACTCGAATTGTCAATCTTGGTTTCATTTAACGCCAAAATGTGAATCCCTAACCTCTTGATCATTAGGTTAACTTCGTCAAAGTGGTTTCGAAGGTCACTGATATTCAGGGAAGCAATTGCCATACCCTTTTTAAATCCTAAATGCTGGTGACCTGGGACCACACTGATAGGTATCTTGGAAATTTCTTTGGAGATTTCGGAATAGTTTGCATCTTCCCTGAGTGACTCACTTTCAAGTGGTTAATTAAACTTGAGGTGCAAACTTAGCAATCAAAATCGAAGCTGTTCCTAACCCTTATATATTAGGGAAATTCAATACTACTAATGGCAATGGCTAATAGCAACAATCAAGGCATTGTGATAGCAGAAGAAGGTCAAGTATCCCATATTGAAAGCTACAATGCCTGCCAAAAGTCTTGAAACACACGTCAATTTCCAAGGTCGAAATCAATCATCCCCCTCTCCCCTACAGAACAATGCTGGTTTACTATCAAACGGGTTAGGATTTTAGGAAGCACTTTCTTTTGCGCTTCTTTTATGATATTTCTCTAAATTATCAACAATGTTTTAGGGGGAAAGGGGCGGAAGTAGTAATCTTTTTTTCATGAAAGGAACGAAAGATATCAAATGCAGCGTGAATTTCTGGGTGTTCCAAGTACTTTTTGCAGGCATTGTATATTGTATTCTTCGCATTGGTCCAATATCTTTTCACTATCGAGCAGGGGAAACATCAAAAAGTTCGAAGCTAAAAATCCCGATACACTTTTTTCAGCACTTTGGTCCACCCCATAACTTACAATCTAGGAGCCATGGAATGCTTTGAGGTGATGGCTATGAATATATCCTTCGTGGCTCCGGTATTTATTTGTCTTAAGCACTGTTCCAAACAAAGTTAACCATAGAACAACAGAGCGATACAAGATACCGTCAGTTTCGCCCTCTGACAAAATCACAGAGACTTGGTACCGAATTGTCTTTCAGAAAAAGGTTTTTAGATCAAGTTTCTCAAAAGAGAAAGTTTCAGTAAGGTGCATAGACCAGTTGAAAGAGAAAGGTGTAAGACCAATTGACATAGAACTGTTTACCTGGAATTCCTTTTCCCTTGAAGGTCTTGCAGATCAAAACTGTTGGCTTCTCTTTAACCTGCTCAGCCTCATAGAAATGGCGGCAAAGAGATTCGACATCATGGCCATCAACAACGTGAGCATTCCAACTGCAAGAAAATTCGCATTTAGCAATGTCTCAAATATTAAATTACTATATAGAAGAAAATATCTGGACTGAGCTGATCTGGTTACAATTGCAAAAGATAAATATTACATTCAAATGGTCACGAAATAAAATGTTTTAAAGGAAATAGTTCTTTATAGAATCAATCAATTATTGCTGGAACTTAAAAGAAAATCTGAGTGGGAATTTCGATAGGGAATTGTGATGACACTAAAAACACAATTTAGTTTCATATAATTTGTTCAAGAAAATTTTGAGATCAAGAAATAACAGGGTAAAGAAATACAATTTTTGACTTTTAAGTTAAATGCTTTCATCTAAAGCAATTGCACCTAAAGTTTTCAAAAGGGTTTTTAGATATGAATCCAAAGCAAAAGGAGTGCTTCTTCATTTCCGGTAAGAGTTTTGAAGTTTCAACTCCAAATCCCCCTGATCAGCGCTTGTGATCCCTGACCCAGATAAAAAAGTTTGCTAATATGCTTGCTGTCAGCATATACAAAGAAACGTCAATAAAACTGTCAAGGTTTATTAGTTACTAGAAAAGATTGTTACTTCAGCGTTGAGCTGTGTAGTGTATCATAAAACAGCATCATTGATTGATGTTTTTTTGCAAATAGAGGCATTGTTGTGTTGAATGCATCAAATATAATTTTAAATATTGATAAAAATTGAAGATTAAGCCCTAGATTAATGAAATGTTTCATCTCCATGTAGCACCAGCCTTAATTCAGCTCTTAAGTTAATGATTAGCTCTAATTGTTTCGGTAGAGGGTTCTATGTCTGGGTTAATAACATAACAATTCAAATATAAAACAAAATCACGTTCTAGAAATAATAAGGTCAGGAGTGGACAATTTGGTCTCTTGTGCACCCAAATTGCTATAGAACTGTCCGCCACAGTTCTGCTTTTAGAGACCAAGGGCCATATGCGAGAGACCACTGAAAGAGCTGCTAGTCTCCCAGCAGGGGACAACCCTTTTACCGGGATTGTCCACCCCCCGAAGTGTTATTTATATACAAAGATAAGCTTTTATTTGATTAATACTTCAAAGTAAGATCCAAAGGAATATACTTCCAATGAGCACTCTTACCCAAATGCCTCCCATCTCTTTTTGTATGTTTCCATATCATGCTGTAGGAGAGCTGGGTCACTCTGACCAAGTCTGTTTACATCCACAATGGCAACAAGGTTATCAAGGTGATAGAAACTTGCAAAATTAGCTGCTTCCCAAACACTTCCTTCAGCAGACTCACCATCTCCAATGATGCAATATGTTCTATAGCTGAAATAAAATCATAAAAAGAAATGAAAAAATGTTTTGTTGCACCATAAAAGCTAGCATTCAGCAAATCGACAGGCCATCCCCTCATCACCCCTATTATGTCTGCCATCTCTTACTTACAAATACACATACACAGTTATCTAATGTTGCAAGTGGAAACTTGCTGCAATGAATGTGAACAAATCTTTATCTGCAATCAATCAAATTTGACATCTAAGCAAATCTGAAATATAAGAAATCTGAAATCGAAGCAAGTCTCTAATCAATCAATTCTGACATCGTAGGTAAACTAGAAGCCTAGGCAAACCTTGAATCTAAGCAAATCTTAAATATTAGCAAATTTGCATCAAAACAAATCCAAAACTATGCAAAAAGGTAAAACACAAACCTGGCTTTATCAAAATATTTGCCAGTGTAAGCCATTCCACATGCACAACTCAGGCCTTGTCCAAGAGAACCTGTTGCAACATCTATGAAGTTGAGTCTCTGTGAAGAAAATAAATATATATATATTATGCCAAGTAAGAGCAGTGCTACAATGAAAACAACTCATTTATCAGCTTAATCGTTATTTCTTTTTTCTAATGATTTGTAAGAAATTTTTCTTTAAAAATGTGGGATATAGAATCACAACAAAACCAAACTTAACAATATAGAATCTCAAGAACAAAATTGTGTTTGTGCAATTACATCTAAAAGCATTGTTATATATAATGCTTACAAAACTTTAATATCGTCTTATCTTTTGAGCTATGTCAATTAGACAGACGAAACTGATGACGATAAAGCATAGCATAAATAGCAATTGCACATCAACTAGGGAAGTAAATATTTAATTGACACTAATTTAGTTTTTGGTTTGTTTTCGTTTTACCACACAATTTTAAAATTTAAATTCAAAACTGGTGTCATTTTTAATGTTCTCTGATATACTGCTTCCACACTACCAGTTTTGTGTTTCGTGTAGGTGTGACTCAAAAAAAGGTTACAGCGACTATGAAGTTTTGTAAAAATTATATTTCTTCAGCATCAAATGTCTATTATATATTATCCATAATTTCTATATCCCAATATGTGTGTTTAATTTGAGTGTCATCTTTATTATCTTTTTGTATTTCATCATTGAAACATTTGTTTGATGACCAAGGCTGCAACAACAATGCATTCATAGGGTGCAGCTGACCTTTGAGCAGGTGCTTTATCGGTGTGGCCTTTATTGCAAATCTATGGGAATGTCTCATAAACACTGGAACAATCTTTATAAGAGAACTCTATCCTGGAATGAGTTACTAAACTGACCGATATCCTGGAATGAATTATTAAAGAGAGGCGGCTTATAGCAGGCAAGTAAAATACAATGGCTTTTATCCTTGACAAACATCCTATCCTTTTATCTATGACCAACAAGTCAGATTTAAAGAGTAAAAACAAAGGAAATGACATTTGCCTTTTAGAGTCCTAAAGTGACTAAGTCACAAAAACTTTGTGAATTTTTGAATTTGGATCCCATAACTTTAAAGAGCACCGTGAAATACCTCTAAATGTGCAAAATCAGTCAAATTTGTTTCGAATTGGCTGAGATATGGTCACATGTGCACTGGCTCTTTCCCAATCAAACCTCTGTAATTTCTTCTTTGTTCATAACTCCAAATGAACCCAAATAACAGTGATTCGTTAGTTAAAATCTTTTATTGGTCATAGCTGGAAATTGGAAAGTATTTCATGGTGTTCTTTTATGCTATATGGTTAAAATTCAAAACTTCTAAAAATAGCTTTTTTGTGATGTCACACTTAAGACCTCTATTAGAAAAATGCCATCCAAATAACAGAGATGTTAGCAAGTGCTATTGTGGAAATTTTCAAAGGGAGATTGAAAGCGGGAAATTCATGTGATGCAAAGTCTCGAGCCCAAATCCAGATTAGGGTTCACAAAAATAAACATTGAGGGTTAGTAGGCCTATAGCTTTTGAAAAAGAACTGTTTAATGAATAATAACACCAATAATGCTGTCTATTTCTAGCCACTAGCAGCTGACTATTTCTAGCCAAAAGGTATACAAATTATTCAACTCTACATAAATAAAGCCAAAATCAAATTATAAAGCACCCTAATTTGTACTCACAGGTGTTGGATGACCTTCCAGATCACAATCAATCTTCCTGAGATTCATAAGATCTGACCTTGGGAAAAGGCCTGCTTCTGCCCAGGCTGCATACAAAATTGGGGCAGCATGACCCTATTGAAAACAAAACGCCAGTTGATTTGAAAAGTTGGTGTGCAATCAGAAAATTATGGCGTGCAACACTGACATGACCTCGCAAATGCGTCTTTCATACTCAGCAGAATAGTCCCCATTGAAGTCCCCAGTTTAATGCCAGATGCCTTGATAGTATCTCAACAAAAATTACTTGAAAAAATTGTATAAAATCTAAGTTTCCACAAAATAAACAATTTAAAAACTCAGTTCTCAGTTTCTTTTCTGCATAATCACTATGAAAGCAGAGACCTATAAAAAGTTTGAGAAACTGCAAACTTTTTATTGTCTAGTTTACAGCTTCTTTATTTAAAAAAGGCAAGAGTACACTTTAGTAAATAATAATACAAAATGAGTTTCCTAGTTCTTTCAGTAGGAAGTGAAACTGTTCATCTTGCTACTTTTATTTTCAATAAGTATGGTAAGTTTCAACCCCAATATTTTTGCTAAAATAGGATTGCAAACAGAAACAATACAAATCAAGAGAGATTATCTTATATGAAATTATTTTTGCTTCAAATCTTCTATGGGTTTGCTACTAACAACAAGTATAGAGCAAAGCTTTGGACATCCTTTCATACCTTTGAGAGAACAAATCTATCACTGCTGACATCTTTTGGCTCTGACACTAAAATGAATGAATATTTTTGTTCACAATAAATACCAAATGTATGTGCCTGAAAGTAATGAAGAAAACAATGTATTAATGTTCTAAAATATTATTAATGAGCGATTAAGGAAGAGTTACTGTATTCTTAGAATGATTGACCACAAGGCAAAAAAACATTATTGTCTGCCCCACAGCAAAAAAGAACTAGGATGTTAAATAAATTGCTGCAGTAAATTGCCATGCTTTGGGCCAAGGACCAACAGCCCCCTTTTTCTAGCCAACTCTCTCAATAAATAGATATCATATATGGCTGGCTTACTATCTTTTACATTTTGCAATGGCAAAGCAACATTCTTGTCGTAATTGTGGTCAAATTTGGCACACAAGTGAATAAAATTCTAACTTTAACCACAATATACATGATACATAATGAACAAATTTAGGCCATATTTTCAGTTAATCAGGGATGGCTCAAAACCAACAATATCAAAACATTCAGTTCTATTCAGAATCATTTCCTAGCACGTGTCCTGGATGCAGTGTCAACTTGCGTCTGTAACACCATGCATCCTTTAAAAAGACATTGCAATTTCAAGCTTTCTTCATCTTCTCTAGCCCAGAATATTGCAGCCTCTTTTGCATGCATTTCAAAACAAACAGATTTAAAAGAGGCTGGCAAATAGTATATTATTATATAGTAGCCATAGTCAAGAAGTATCTAAATAATGTAATGGCCACCCAGCAAACTGTTCACTGGACTCCAGTCGAATATTTCCAAACATTGAAAATAGGAAAAAACACTAAACACTAATAACAAACAGCAAAAACACAAATAAATTATAGATAGCTAATAATTCAACTTGGTGTCATGGCTTTAACAGAGCAACAGTCAAGAAGGTCTGAATTTATATCAAGAAGGTTTGACATTGATGAATTTTTGAAAAAGACAAAATTTGGAACATTTGAGTGATACCTTTGTATCTCATGGTCTGGAAAAACAACACTGACATTATTTCCGCTATAGAGCAGCATGATGTCGGGTGCCTGAAAAAAATACCTTGCATTATACAATAAAGCTCAATCACAGATATTTCATAACGTTATTGTTCCTAGTGCTCTTATATTGCTTTTGAGCTTTTGGCAGCCAAGTCACAGAGGCAAAAGACACAGACATGAGTTTTTCAGGAAAAAGCAATTAACTTTATAAATCTTTTGAGCAATGCCAGTAGAATCTTTTGTTGCAAATGACATTTTCAAATTTTTATGTGAAATATGTTAAATGAAACATTATTTGGCAATTGTTTCTTTGAAGTCTTTCTCCTTTTGATCTAAGGATGAAAAATGTGTCATATTCCAATCCAAAGCCCCAGTCAAACAAACTAAACATTTCACTGATCAACAATCAACATGATTGCTAAGTAAAAAGTTCAGTTTGTTTGACCACTTGCTAACCTTTGCTCTGCCCTGCTAAGTCTTGCTCAGAGACGTTTGAGGGCGATAAAAAATGTTGAGAGAGTCATTAAACATTTCTTTTGTTCAGGGTGTTGTTGAGCAATGCTCAGTTTGTTTGACCACCCAACTGAACTTTGCTTAACTCACGCATGCCTAGCTCGTGCAGTGGATTCCAGTTTTGCACCAAGAATACATTGAGAGTTTTGCTGTGAAGATTGCCATTTTGACAACATTAAGAAGGCATTTTGATTTGCAATAATTTTGTGCAAAATGTTCATTTCTCATTGCGTAGGCACTCACATTAATCATTCTTTGTTCATTGAATTGTTGGGTGCAATGTTCAGTTCGCTTTACCGCCCTGTACTGAGCAGCATACTGAGCAGAGCTGAGCAAGATTTGTAAATGTTGAGTGTTGCTCAGTAAAATGTTCAGTTTGTTTGACTGGAGCTTAAGCTATTCTAGGCTCAAGAGTAAAAGAGTGGGTTAACTGATTTTCTCAAAACCACACAACATGGATTTGCTTGGCTTAAGCAAATGTAAACCAGGTGGGACTTTTACATAAGAATATAAAAATGGATTAAGGTGGCATCAGAGTAAGATGCGGGCCTTGTTGAAAATCAACTCTTGCTCATTTGGAACAATTTCCCCCAAAACAATGATAAATAGGACTATTGGAATGATTGTTCTGAAGTGAATCTTTTCCAGTATGTCTTCGGGGAGGTAAGACATAGATCCTATTGTATTAACTTTAACTGCAAATGCTTTCCTGTTTTCTTTCTTTGAACATTATATATATTCCAATGAGCATATTTCAAAAATGAGGGACAGATTTTGCAAAATCATAACCTATAAACCAAGAGTATAGATGGCATTCAAACGATTCTATGATATCTAAACAATACAAAAAAGTTAAAGCCAAGAGTTATCTCAACTATGTTTTAAGCTACAGGGCAGTAAAGTTTAGAAATAATTCATATTTGAAGTGTGATGTATTTTTTCGGTTATATCTAAGTTTAAATTTTGAGGTGAATTTGAGCTAGAATTTCTTCAAAGCACATATTTTAGAGTAGTTATTTTGATGGCTTAGTTGTAATTTACTATAATATACTCTATTTAGGAATGAAAATGCTTTGGAGTGACAAAATTCCTCCTGTTATTTTACATATATGAAAAATGTTTTATACTTCTTCTACTCTTATATAAAAATGTATTGACACTTCTTTTCATCTTGACAGGTCTTGAAACATAATTTGTTTAGACTGCAAATAATCTTGGACTCAAAAGAGATTCCCGTGGAACTCCAATACTAACATTGAGTTTCTCAGATGTTTCAGTTTCTATCAATTTACGTTGTAAAATGGTCGTAAAAGTTAATATTAAGTAAAAGTAGTAGTAGTTTTTTTATTTCATGATTGAACGATTGAAGTATCAACAGCCATATTAAAATTTTTTTGCTACGCAGTGTCCCAATAAGATTAGCAAAAATGCCGTAGTTGCCTTTCGTCGGTTACCTAGCAAACATTATCGTTATCATGAATGGCGGCCTAAAAATGACATAACACGTGGATGTTTGCGTGGAATGCAGTAGCAAATTGTTATCCAAAATACTTAGCAGAAATATTGATGTAAACTCACCACAGAAATTGTTCTTAGCCTGAACTATAAAAATAAGTGATATCATCACAGTTTTTGTACGTTTATACTTCCTGGCACTTATATGTTTACTGCTTAAATACGTGACGTATTCGCGGCTAGTATAGATTTCCAGCACTTTGTTGTCTTTCCGTTTCTAGACGGCCTAAAAATCTAACTTCCAAAAGAGCAGCAACCTACCCCGATTTTGCAGCATTGGTTGACTGAATACTATCAATTCTCAGTCTGTTGGCTATATCCTTAAGTGTTTGCAAACGCTTTTGGTCAGGACAGTGGTATTCAGCCATGATGATATAGCTTCAGGTCTACTTTAAAATGCGAACTCTTCTGCTGTATTCTTCCCTCCGCCCCTTGCCTTCCAAAGCAGACGAGAGACAGCATATTCCTAGCGCATGTGGTATCTTTCATGCCTGCGCAGAGGCTAGATTCATGCCCACGTCATCACGAGTCACCAGCGGAAACCAATTTTCTTTACTGTGTTCCTGCTTTGTAAAAACATAAACATGTTTAGTGAAACAAAAATGCACGCTGCCAAGTGACGTTATGCCGTTCATTAACAAGTCCACCAAACGGCCACAAAATTGTCGCTTCCAATGTGCATATCAGGGGGAAACCTATGCAATCAGAAAGTGAAGGGGGGGGGGAGGGGGCAAAGGCAAATTTACAGACCCATAACCAGCAGTGGTGGCTCGTACATTGGGGCTAGCGGGGCTCAGCCCCACCAAAGATTTCCAAGAATCATTTTTAGATTTGTAAACGTAAATGAAATCAACGTTCATTGTTATTTTAGCATTGTTCATTAATTCAGTTTCATCAATTTTGTAGCTTATTATTGTAATATTTGTCTCTATGTTAAGTGTAAGTCTTAGGGTTGTTATGCATTTCCATGCACCCTAGGCTTTTGAATTGTAATTGATTGTCGTTATAAATTTTTATGAGAATATAAAAAAAATTCAGTTTCATCGAGTCGAGTTTCACCATTTGTCAATTTTCTAGTTTGTTTAGGTCCCAATGCCCGCGGTTCTTTTGTACATGTTAAATATAGCAGAAGGGAAAAATTATACATATACATGCCCTTTTCTAATTGGGCACACTATTCTAACAACAAACTGGATCCCAGATCTCCTAACGACACAAGATTATGTGAGAGAGCCCAGTGTGATCTGGTTGAGGTTGGTATTACATTGTTTTCCTTAGTTTTTGACAAGCTAAGCTTGTCCTTTTTGTATGGTTTCACACATTCATAAACACGAGAAAATCGCTTTAGTGTAGACAGAAGGAGTTCGTTTACACCTTAGGATTCCATTGGTAACATTCAAAGACCGAGATACAACTTTTTGTTTGGGGGAAGGGGCAACCAATGGCGGCGCCAGCCACTAAGCTCTGGGGGGAGGGGGGCAAACCAAACATATTTCAGCCACGCCCTTTTAACCACCAGAAAACGCCCTTTTACAAACAGGGAACGCCAATTTTATCCGAAGGAAACGCCAATGACTAACTTTGTTTGAATATTGGCACTTTGATAATCATAGGATTACATCACAAAAAGTACGGTGTCAAAATATTACCCCTCCCCCAACATTTCCTCATTAAATTTAGACGAAATACAAAATCGATTCTGCTGAGAACTGGGGGGGACGTGTCACAAAAATGTATCAATCTGTACACAAAAATGTCTCTCTCAATCAATGCCTCCAAGTCCAAACTCAAGGAAAATTAACCCTTTTTTATATATTGTTGTAAATGTATTGTTGTAAATTCATACATCTTTGATTAAGCCATATTCTGCTCTTTTTATTGTAAATTTTATAGTATATAACTTTTTAATTTTGTAGTTAGTTTTTGCAGGGCCAATTATAAAACAGTATTAAGACTGAATTTGTAACCTGGGTAATAATTTTAAAATGATATGAAATGAAATTGGTCGTGCTGTTATTTGTCATATTTGTTGAATTTAGTCGTTAATTGAATCATTGCCGTTAAAAGAAGAATTTTGAACTGATCGCTGTTGCCGCTATTTGGAGTATTTCTGTTAGAACACAGCGTTTCCATCCGTTGCAGGACGTTACATGACGATTGCATCACGACTTCTCATGTGTAATTTTGTTTATTGCGTAATTATCATTATTTCAGGTGCTGGTAAAATATATAAAGGGGTTAAGGAATTGCGAAGGAGAATCGCATTATTTCTCTTATTATTTACACTTTAAAAACTTCGGTTAGGCAGGTTGCTAGATAGCTTTGCCTAATTTCTCTTTCTCCACGAGGGCTCTGCATAGTCTACACATTTTTTGGCTTCTTGTCATTCTTTTGTATTGCATTAGTAAACAATTTGTCTATTTTTTGTATTGTGGCTTCCTGGAATGAAGTAATGTACCAAAGATTTGCTAACAGACAATCTCGACTTCTAAAAGCACCTTTCTGATTATCCGCCTTTAAATCGAGAAAGTATACTGGATATTATTGGTAACCGAAAATCTGCTCTGCACCAGAAAAAGGAAGAGGTGGCTGAGGCCCCCTCGAAAATTCCTAAGAGAACTCGAGCCTGCCCTGCCCTGTCTGAGGTTCCCACCCCGCCACTTTACACAGTTTCTGGCTGCAGGACGCTGCGAAGCACAGAAAGCTGTGAACGAGAGGAAGTGTCTCGTTTGGAGTTGAAGTGTTTCTTGGAAGTGGTTCTGTAGCCACGACCTTGACAGGTTTGAAAGAAATGGCTTCGCTCGAAGGCAGCCCGTTTGTCGGAAAAATAGACTACAGAAAGCTAACAGACTGCGAATTTTATGTCAAAGGATCTTGTACAAAAAACTTGGTAAGTGTTGATTGACAAACAATAACAATTCAAGTTTTTTAAACTTTAAATGGTATTTTTACCATTTTTCTGCAAAAAGTTATTAAAGGAAAACTGGAGGGTACAACAATTATTGGTAACCGAAAATCTGTTCTGCACCAGAAAAAGGAAGAGGTGGCTGAGGCCCCAGGGGCGAAACTACCGGGGGGTGTGGGGGGTGTGACACCCCCCCAATCCAAAAAATAGTCGATTTCGCAGGGCAATCGAAGATTTCGCAGGGTGCCAAGAAGAGCTTTATTGCCACGCAGAAATGCCACCTCTGAAGTTCATAAAGAGCTGTTAAGGAATTTTGAAATGGAAATATCATATTTGTTATGAATCTACCTTCCTGACATTGCATTTTAGAGAACGGAACAGGTATGTAAGGAAAAGCTCCGTTATTTGCAAAGCGAAAGCATTTCTTACCGAAAGTCATAGCCAATGGATGCAATGATTGATGCATATGTTTATGAGGGCAAGGTTGAGTCATGCAAATTAATTTAAGTTGTAAATTATTTTCATGACAAGCACGGCCTCATTGGGCGTCACTGGAGGGAATAAGAGGCTGAAGGCCCTCACTTTGGTCAAGATAGGATTTTTTTTATCATTTTTTCTATTACTTTTGAACAGTGCATGAACTAAAAAACATAATAAATCTTTAAGATGCCGATTTTGTTTCATCTAATTGCTAACTTTTTTACGTATATTTTTATCATTTTCCTTTTACTTGCATTAATTCAGTAAATTATTTTCTGTATCATTGCAATGTTTTAATTTTGGAAGTGTAAACATGGCCTTCTCGATACAAGAAACTGCACATTTCTGTTCAGGAAAAAAAATTCTCCCAATCAAAACAACATCTTCCTCTGTCATTCACAACTACGTGCAATCTGAAACGAAAGGTTGCCGTTTCTTTCTTTCCCTAACGTCTAACACTAGAGTTTTAGCATGACATCCCCCTCCCTATTTTTCCCAATAAACAATAATATTTTCAATAAACAATCAGTTTATTGAACAAAACAATCAGCACAAAAGCATTTTGCTAAATTTTTGTCTGAAGATGCTTTTTAGCCCTTTTACAAGGTATAATTTCAAAAATTTCTTCACGTCGGACCCAACCATGGTGGGTCCTCCTACCTCACTAAACTTGTCTCTTAGCCCCACTGGGCTAAATTTCGTTGCGCTGTTTACATCATGTACCCCTCACACCCCCAATTAGCTCTTTATCAGCTTAATTTTGCAAACCAACATTAAATGAAGTGAATATAGAAAAAACAATTTACGCTCACGTACAGAAATAGAAATTTCATAGGCAATGAAGTTTCAAGTTTGTTTTTACTGCTTAGAAGTTGGTCCTTGGTAAAGACCAGTGTACACTGGTAAAGCTTTCACTAGTAACCTATTGACAAACCGTTGCTACGAGGTCTGCAGGGCACCACTCAGTTTTGCAGGGCAGAAACCCTTTTCACCCCCTCAAAACTATTGGCCAAGTTACGCCCCTGTGAGGCCCCCTCGAAAATTCCTAAGAGAACTCGAGCCTGCCCTGCCCTGTCTGAGGTTCCCACCCCGCCACTTTACACAGTTTCTGGCTGCAGGACGCTGCGAAGCACAGAAAGCTGTGAACGAGAGGAAGTGTCTCGTTTGGAGTTGAAGTGTTTCTTGGAAGTGGTTCTGTAGCCACGACCTTGACAGGTTTGAAAGAAATGGCTTCGCTCGAAGGCAGCCCGTTTGTCGGAAAAATAGACTACAGAAAGCTAACAGACTGCGAATTTTATGTCAAAGGATCTTGTACAAAAAACTTGGTAAGTGTTGATTGACAAACAATAACAATTCAAGTTTTTAAACTTTGAATGGTATTTTTACCATTTTTCTGCAAAAAGTTATTAAAGGAAAACCGGAGCTTTTCTCACAAATTCCACATTTTTGTCTAAGTTTCGGAGACTTTCATATTAACCGGAATTTTTGTTTAATTATGAACATATGAAAAAACAGTAAAACTATGGTATTTGTGATGTTTAAAGGCATTGAGTCATGGTAAATAGGCCTGCTCTATAGGGGGTCATTTGGTTTCGGCGTGATCGCTGCTGTTTCATGTGATATTTGCATCCGTTGTTGACAACTTGCTATTGATGGTGTGAACCCGCAACTGTCTTTGTGCTGTCACAAGAGAAGTGGACCCTATTATAAACCGTGTATCAGAGAGTTTTTATTAAATTAAAAAGAAAGTTCTCTCCCCCCTTCCAATTTTCCCCTCCCCCCTCCCCTACCCTTCACCCTCCCCTACAACAATCAATGTGTACCCCTACCCCAACCAGGAAGTAGGATTAATGAATGCCCCCTTGCAATGAGAACTCTAGAAGAACCTTCTATCTGCCTGTAAAATGGGCCTAATGTAAACAAATGGGCCTAAATGTATATGAAAACCCTATAGAAAATGTACCCTCTTACTCCAAACAGTAGGCATCAGGATCGAAATTTACTTCCGTTTGTTTCGAACCATAAAAATACCTGCTATTTGCCTATTAAAGTGAGCTAAAGTAAACAAAGAAGCAAATGGGCCTAAATGTATAGGAAAACCCTATAGGAAATGCACTATATACTGTATAACCTATATACTATATAGGAACTGTATAGTAGCTATAAAGGATACAGTACTGAAAAGTGCCAAAACTTCAACCGGTCATAGTGACGTCATTACTAGGTGATACCCCAAAACCAATACCACTAATCGATTTGTCTCGACAAGATCTTTCGTTTGCTGCAATAATATCCGAGGTACCTCATGTATGACGGAAGTTATGGGACTAAACAAATTTGAAAAACTGGTCAATACAAATGTGCCAATTCTGAAAAAAACTGTGACAGGTACTGTAAAGTACTCAAGGCACCATAAAAGAAAACTAATTTACCGATCTTTTCCACGTATTACTCACACTAACACTAGTTTCATAAAAGAGAAACGAATTTTTGAAAATGGGCCTAAATTCGCCATTGTGGCGTAGCTATGACGTCACAGCCACGCCCAAATCAAAAACCAAATACATCTGACCGCCAAATCAAAAACTGACCGCCTGAAAACGCCCTTTCATATGAGCTATTGCAAGCTGAGGTACCACATACCTGGCCAGAGATATCTGCAAAAACGTCTGAAATTGGCACATTTTCAAACTTTGTGCCAAAATGGCACATTATCTTCAACTTTTTTTGGAACAACCATACCATCAAAAGATGCGCCGCGACGCCCTCTATCCATTTAGGTGGTATGTTGGGGGGGTACCACGTCTGTGAAAAAAGTTATTCGCAAAAAACCAAAATTTTATGGCTCTATTAACTTTTGGCACTTTTTGGCACAAAGGAGATGCGACAATCGATTTTCGACCACAGGCCCGGATTGCCAACTCGATGGAAAGTTTTTTGGCACGTTTGGATTTCCCAACATTGAAACACAGTAAAAGTTATTTGGCCTCAAAGTCAAAATTTTTTTCAATTTTCCGACGTCGCTGTGACGTCATAGCCACGCCCAAATCCAAAACCGACCACACCCAACGATGCCCCTTGAAAAGGACAACATTTGGTGTAAGGGGCGTCGTGGTACCCCCGCTGGTTCAAAAGTTATGGCGAAAAGACTTTTTTGGCACCCCGTTTTTGACCCTATTTTTTGGTTTTTGGCACACAGTGGCGCAACCGTAAAAGGTACCAAGTCGCCGTTCCCACCCTTTTCAATCCACCATATAGGGATCACCTTGGCACCGTTTGCACATCTGTACCACTTTTGGTCTCTCTGTGCCAAGGTCCCAAACAGGGCCCACTTTCGCTTGCCTCTGTGACGTCACGACCACGCCCAACCACGCCCAAACTCAAGTCACTCGTGGACCTCGCGGAGATCTTTCGTTTGAGCCAGGTCCCAGTTTTGTCCCATTTGTGGTTCAAAAGTTACGGTCCAAAGTGTGTTTTTGGCGCTTTTCGGCACCAGTGCCACTCGGTTTGTGCCAAATAACTCGGAACAGAAAGGTGGTACCCTGGTGCAAACGAAGGTCCTCAGTTACCCCACTGAATTTGGCACAGTTTGAGCCTATTTGGGCTTCTGTACCTCTTGTCACTTTTTTGCCCCGTCAGTTTGAAAATCGGCGAAAAAGTGCCAAAATCGCCTCTTCTGACGTCACTGTGACGTAGGTGCCACGCCCAATCCGAGTGCCGTTTATTGCAAAAGGTGCGCCTTCACTATCTCTACGACCTCCCGCAAACCCCGTTTCGATACCCCTCTTCGTTTTTAAGTTATTCACGAAAAACCTGTTTTTGGCCGTTTTTTTCCACCCCCGTGACACATGTTTTTTGGGGTTTACCCCACCTTACCCCGTTACCCCAACTCCCAGATTTCGTATTCGACTAGGGCCTCTTACAGATACACCTTCTAAAAAAAGAATTTTTCGATTCCCACTTGCCGTTCAAAAGTTATTCGCGAAAAACACTTTTCAAAAAATCCGCACCTACCAATTTGCAATATCTTTTTGAAATAAACTCGGGAATACTTACTTTATGCTTGGATATCTAGAACTGCTCATTTTCCTCACTTTTGTTGGAGAATCTGCTAAATGTTTTGGTCGGAAATTTTTGGAGCCGCAATGGACCTAATCGCAGCAGCCGCTTCGTGATATGTTGCAGAACTATTCAATCAATAAAATGTGTCACAAATCGTCAAGCCCATCTTTTCCAACCGATTGCGATTTTGTTATGGGAACAAATAACGCTGCAAATTGCGTGAAAGAACATTTCGTCCTCTCACTAAATAAAAATACCAAAATTCCCTCGACAAACAGGTTCACTCGATTACCTCACTCAATAGCTGGAAAAGAGTAGGCATAATAAAATGGCTTAAAATATGCCACTTTCCATCAAATAGAGCGTTTTCATGTGACGTAAGAAAATCGGAAACGAGGTTGGTGGCCATGTTGGTGTTCCACCACTGATCTCTGTGTTAAAAGTTGTTAAAGTGCCTATGAAATGAAATTTAAGTGATTGAAAAAATTACATTTTCTGATAGAAAAAGAATCAGTGATTCCAATCGTGTATAATTTGATGTCTTTTATGCTCACGAAATGCAAAAAAAAGTCAAGAAGATACTCCGTTTTTTCATTTTTCTGGGAGACAAAGCGCGCGGCATTGTGACGTCATGTGGTTTGCAGATGGTTGCTGTGGTTTTATTTTTTGTTTGGTTCGTTGGCAACGTACATTGAAGATGGAGGAAACTTTCGGAACGACAGTGAAAAGAGGAGGGAAATATTGCGTAGCTGGTGCTGCTGGTAACAAAAGTTGCCAGAACACAAGTTATACAAATGGAATATCCATGCATAGATTCCCAAAAACGAAGAAACGCGTAGAAAGTGGACAAATTTCGTTCGAAGGCACAGGCCTAACTTCTCACCCACTTCCACTTCCCATCTATGTTCCGCTCATTTCGCACCGACATCTTTTACAAGAAGATTAGACATAGGAATCGGCGATGGTGTGAATCTAAATCGGACACTTCAATCCGGAGCTTTTCCAACCGAAGATACCGTCATTTCGACAGCCGAAGAAAAAGGACCAACAGTTACACCTCGCGAGCGGCGACAGGTTAGGCCCTTAAAATGTCACGGTTTCTTGAAAGAATAAAACCAGATAGTTCGCTGTATGCACTTCTGCTGTTGCCAATTAAGCGAGTCCGCATTTTGGTCATAGATTCAATGCAAATTCTTTTTACAATCTTTCAGGGACTGTGGCTTATGACAAACTTTTTGTTATTGTGACCAACCCCACAATTGGTAAAAGCTATTGGAAAACTTTCAGGGGATGCGCAAACGAGTTGCATTGAAGGTTTTCATTCTACGCTAAACCACTGGCACCCAAAAATGATTGGATTCTTTTATACTGGTTCGGTTTGCAGGTAAATAAATTTTAAATAAGCTTATGTTGAAATAGAAATACATGATGCCCCTCTATCCTGCTGATTTCTGCTTTATTATCAAGCTGTGATTTCCAAGATCAACAAGTTTTGTTTGGTGCATTATATGATTGTGTCTGTGAAAAGTATTAAATATTAAATATATGAAAAGTATTATTTGATTTTGCAGAAAAAACTATATTTATATATAAATCTTTATTTTAGAACAATAACGGCCATTCTGTATTTTAATGAAAATATCAAACGGGAGAGGATGAAAACCAAAGATGGAGAGTCTTACTTCCATGTTGTTTACCCAAAATACAAGTTTGGGGAGGAAATAGTTCGCGAGGTCTCAGTGCCTCCAACTTACGTTAAGTTTTATGCTATTTTAAATCAACCAATAATAGGAGCATACTGGTCCTCAAGAGTCTGTGATAATAGTTAGTAAGTACAAGTGTAGCAATCTATCTAAAGTCAACCCAGTGAAACGAAAATGTACAAATTTTGAATGCTTTGTAATTGTCAACTTTCATTGCAGTTTTCGTTGAAGGCTTGAAAGATGTACTCTTTTCCACACCACTGGAGGATTTCCATGAAACAATGAGACATCATGAATCATTGGTTCCCGAGCCCTTAAGCCACAAGTTTCAGGAAAGGCTGACTCAAAAAGCTGCAGTTGACAAGTGGAAGGCTAAGAAAAGGACAGTTGCTGAGTGCTTTCCACCAGGTAGATATTTATATATAAATAAATATATAACTAAACATATAATAATTTCATTTTATATCATAGATGAAATAAACATATTAAGAATTCCTGCTAAATTAGTCACAATAACCTTCATGTTATTTTTTTAGTGAATGAACAGTTGAAAATGCAAGAAACTAGAAAGGCACAGAAGCAAGCAAACGAGAAGACAAATGCACAACAACAAAAGAGGGCACCATGTTGCAGAAAATGCAATTTGCCAATGAAAGGTCACTGTCATTGTCATCCACGTGGTCACTGTCAGAGCAATGAAGCAACCCTCTAAAGTTTTCTCCAAAAGGCCTCGTTCCGTATAACATTTTCTGTTACTGCCATTGAGGCAATCATGTATCTTAAGTTTCATTTGAGGATAACAATATCCCTTTGCATTTTGAAATATCGCCGCATGTCTTTCAAAATATATTTCTGTACTTGTTATTTTCCAATCAGAATTTTGCCTCAAATTTTGCCTCACTTAACCAAAAACCAATATGAAAGAATTTTAATATTTCAAGTGAAAAGAAAAAAACTTCTGATTGAATGTTTTGAAATTCTCAGTGTATCAATTTTCTTCATAAGAAGAGGGTTAATCACGTTCCTCTGTTGTAGCATATCCTCTTAAGGAAGTAGTCGGGAACCGAGACCTGATTTCTTCATAAATGCAGGCAGGCAGTGGTCTTGTGTTGTCCCATCCCATAGGTCCAAAGATCCACCTTACCAGCCACCTATAGGCAACAGCTCTTGCATATCTGAAAATAAAAACAAACTTCTTATACTTCAAGCACATGCCATTATAATATATATGCATTGAAAATGGGGATTTGGCATGGAGATATGAAGATAAGATAAGTTGTAAACGGATTTTCCTAAAAAATTATTTTGCCAAGTATATAAACCATATATTTATATATATATATATATAAATTTCACCATATATTTATTAGGGTGATCAATAATATGATTTGGCAGATAAAACAATCATATACACAATCAAATACAATTGTGAAGGTAACAATTGCTTTCTTGTGTCACGATGCTGAAATTGGAAGTTTCATTATAGAATTTTTCTATTGAAAGTTACTTGTCAATACATCAGCATAAGCCTCCGATCAACTGCTAAAATTTTTGTATTGAACCTATTCAGTTATGATAATAAATTTTTAGTTCAGTTACAACTAATTTCTCAAGAATAATGATAAAAAGGTATTCTAAATTCTTATGTATGACAATTTGCTCATTGAAATATATAACAATGTTTTTGAAATG